TTAAGATGCGTACCCTCAAACAGACAAGAAATTTCGTTTGTTAAACTTCTACCCAACACAAAAAGTGGAATAAAATAGACATAAACCGACATGAAAAAGGTATCACTCACCACAGCATCACATGGACAGATATACGCTCGTTGGGCACCATAAATACCTCACCAACTACAACCCACATTTCCTAAGATAATGTGATGAACTTACATCCATAATGCTGCTGAGCGGTTAAATTTTTCAACTCCTGTCGGAACAGATGAAATTCATAAACCTTCCTCACGCGAAGAAAATACCCACAAGCAGTAGAAATCCATTAATTAATGCATCTAAATCTTATGTATTTTACTCACACCAATGACATTGCAGATCAAGTGAGATAAACATATCACCGATTTCAAAATAGCACATCAATGAACTGTAATTCAAGGTTTCTGCACATAACAAAGTAATGTACGAAAATTGACTTCAAGCTTTATTTTTTTCCCAGGCACTTATAATCCATTCACCAAAGACCAGGTTTTTTTGTTGATGCGAAGACAATACTTCTGTATTTCCTGATGTGTTGCACTCACTGACGATCTTGCAGATTTTCCCAACTGTGCACAGAAATGATTGTACATAAGTGAAAGGGCTGTTTTATACTACTGGGATTAACATTTATCAAGTGTGTGTATAATCTCCAGCGAACGTGTAAAGCATAGCTTGCTACCGCCTGTAAATTGTGATTGAATAATATGGTTCTATTTCTGTAACGATTTGATGATGCATGTAAACTGGTGTCCCTCATGTACTCTACTACGAGAATAAGTTTATTTATTTCTCGTTTATTTAGCAGACAACCTCTTTGTCTGTGATGAGTTCTATTCTAGGAAACCGTTTAGCCACGCCGGTTGAACAACTTCAAGCTCGTTTCTGATCTGCGTCAAACAAAAATAACATTCACGATTTTACTGAATTTAAGATTTTCCCGTCGATTGATTGGACCGAAGTGCTCGGTCTCAGGTTGACATGTCGGCTTCTTCTGCAGATGCTCGACGATGTCTGGGCATTTAGTTAGTATTTAATTGGTGGATGGTGGCTAGCAGTGGAACTCAGGATGCGCAATTCGTCCTATTTGGGACTCGTCAGCTGGATGAACTGTCGACATGTCAACCTAAGACCGAGCACTTCGGTCCAATCAATCGACGGGAAAATCAAATTCAATTAAAATTAATATGACCCGTTTCACAAGAGGTGGCCCTCGTGGCCCAAGTGGTCTAGTGGACAACGCTTTGGCGTTTGAAACTGTGGGTACTGGGTTCGAGCCTCGGTGGGAACATCATCTCTCACTGAGAAATGCAGGTACATCCAGCTGACGAGTCCCAAATAGGACGAAATACGCATCCCGGATTCCACTGCTGGTCACCATCCACCAATTAAATACTAACATTCACGATTGTTGTGAGGCCTTATGGCTTACTAGACGTTAGCTTTTGCACGCTTTCTGCCTACTCTTTAGCCTGTGCATCGGTGGTACAAGGGTTAGGACTCTTGCCGACCATGCACATGGTCCGGAGTTCGATCCTCTGCCGACGTACACCTGATATCTATGATCGGCTTGCAAAATTTGAGCTACCGACATCACATGCTGAAAATTCCATACCTGTACCGGAAATACGGTATGGAATCAAGATGTAATCAAAATTACAAATTAAATAAAAATATTGTGGCGTATTCCTGACATCAGCCTAACTGGCGAAGGGAGAAAACAACTTTCACGGCTGCCCATGGGTGTATTTATTAGCGATGATAGGAATAGATTATAGACATACACGACCACACCACGACTCCGCTGATGAGTTCTCTCCTGAAAATTTTATTGGTCACTATGTGTTTTAGTTCTCACGGATGAACAAACTGATCGCTGACAGAGTAATAAATGAGGTGGAATTGACTTGACGAACTTCGCTCATCCCCTACACTCTTCCTGTATGTTCTGTGATTCCATTACGGCTTAATATTGTAATACACTTTAGAATTTTTATATCTCAACCTATTGGGGGTGTTGAAAACTACTAGCTGCAGAAATCCTACTCTATACTGCGTTTGCTTAAATGTTTAATTTTAGCTCTGCCACCTTTGTAATTAGACCTCCCATGATTACAGGAGGGATTGATTGATACTCACTGTATGAGTGCTCTCAACGATGTTGGCGACATCACAACTGTCTCTGTGTATTCGTTGAGGTTGTCTGAGTAGCTCGAGTAGATTTCAAGCCCACTTCCATAAAACATGCCCACACAAATTCCAAGTACTTCTTTACCACATTTCCAACTCTTCCGTTTAATGAGTATAACTGCTGGCCAAAGGTGTGAAAAAGATTCATCATCAGCTTTGTACGATCGCCTGCCTGGTTGTTGAGATAGGTAACCCCTACACGTGCATTCATGTTTCTTGACAAGAAAACAACCTGGTTTCAAAACAAACGCAAAGGGATATTCAGAGTATTATCATTACTTAAGTAATAAATGTAAGCCTTACAAAGATAACACTTCATTTAAATCAAAAAGCAGTCATTAGATCATTCTGAATAAGAAATCACTATTGGTGAATTTGAAATTCAAGCTCGTCTTCGCTTTGCACTGATTTATCGTGTAGTAGTTTAGGAATTTCTGTGTGATAATCCGACTTTGGGAATCACTTAAAAAGGATTTCACAAAATACAAAATCCTGTTGTCATATTTTCGGTGATAGACATCGAAAACATATTTGTAGATACACTATTTGTCATTAGGAGAGTTTGTAGTACCCTTATACCAACTGTAAACATGCTTTTTAATCTAATTTGTATACTTGCATTATATGTGTATACATTCCGATTTTATATGTACTTCGCAGATACTTGTCGCATCCTGGTGTTAGCGCTACTACCAAGCTACTAAGAGAAAGATTTATCTGGCCAAACATTAACAGCGACGTTAAGAAGTGGACACGAAATTGCTTGTCTTGTCAAAGAGTCAAAATCAACCGGCACACCAAAGCACCACTTGGTCGCTTCCCTAACCCCGACTCTAGATTTGACCACGTACATGTAGACATAGTTGGTCCACTGCCTCCTTCCAATGGTTTCAACTATATTCTAACCTGCATTGACAGATTTACTCGTTGGCCAGTAGCAGTTCCATTAATCGACGTCTCAGCTGAAACGGTAGCTAAAGCTTTAGTCGAAAACTGGATAGCCAATTTTGGTGTCCCATCAATTATCACTACAGACAGAGGTGCCCAGTTTGAAAGCCGACTGTTTGACCAACTAACTGAATTACTAGGCATTAAACGAATACGAACGACAGCGTATCATCCTAGTTCCAACGGTATGGTCGAACGATTTCATCGACAACTCAAAGCTGCGCTCGCTGCTTCTTTGACTCGAAACGATTGGTCAACCAAACTTCCACTAGTATTACTTGGTATACGAGCTACTATAAAGAAAGATATTGGCTGCTGTGTTTCCGAACTAGTCTATGGAACAACATTACGATTACCAGGAGAATTTTTCACCCCGGGTAACCAAGTTCCACACGATATGACTGGTTACGTGCACCAGCTAAAACGACACATGAACGAGCTAAAGATATCAATTCCACGTCAGCAGGAACGAGCGTCATACATCCCGTCACAACTGACAGATTGTACTCACGTCTTCGTCAGGAGAGAAGGTGTACAACGACCACTTCAACCCGCTTATGATGGCCCATTCAAAGTTCTAAACAGAAACGCGAAAGTTATCACGATAGAAAGATTGAATAAAACAGAAGCCATCAGTATCGACAGAGTCAAACCAGCGTTCCTCGACGATTTCGAAGTCAACGATAAGAACCAGCTGAACGACGTGCCAACACCTACATCTACACAAGCTTCAACGTCGACAGAGAAGCCTGCGAAAACAACACGATCTGGTAGACGAGTCCATTGGCCTAAACGTTACGTGCAAGTCATCGAAATATGACTTACTATGAATTTTCATTTTTTATTGTCTTTATTCGTAATTGTCATTTGATTACTCATTTAACTGATTAATATTTTCATACATAAATCACGTCACTATTATTTTAACATCGATATTTCCTATATTATTATATTTAATCACATCTCGTATATTATTCACGTATCGTCTTCGTCTACCGACTACAGATCCCTGGACAATTTTATCGTTCCTTATATATTCTATTACGATTAGTAATTCCACTTTCCCTAGATTATCGCATTTATTATCGACGTTATTAACCGCTTTAAACCGCTCATTTTTCAGCTTAATAAATCGCCTTCTGTGTACTATCGCTGCTACGTATTACGCTGACGCATGTTATTTTCGAACACTTAAATGTATTTTTTTATATATTTCAGTGTTCTGGTGGGGGAATTATGTAGTACCCCTATACCAACTGTAAACATGCTTTTTAATCTAATTTGTATACTTGCATTATATGTGTATACAGACCGATTTTATATGTACTTCGCAAATACTTGTCAATTCACTGTTGAATATTACCTTGACACACAATTTCGAATTTGACTACTGCTTCAATACATATTCGTAATCTTCACAAGTGCCTTTTGATTTACGTTGTGGGCGTCGAGTAGCCACAACGTCTGCGCACATCAATAAGAGCGAAGAAATACATAGAATATATGTGTACAGCAGTTTAGTCAGACAACGCACGCAACAAGTTGTGGCAACACCGTCCTACATATAGCAGCTGCGGCATGCGACTTACGAATATTGACTGACAAGAAAAATCAGTAGGCGAATCAATAATTTTTGGCAGGGTTGACCTGACAATAAGTGTTGCAGTTTGAGTAGGCTTTAAGCAGGAGTTGTTCGCTCTGAGCTTAATGAAGGTGTATTTTTATGCGCGCATTACAAATATAAGGTCGTCGTGTGCAATCTGACCTTGGTGGCGGAGTGCAGGTCGACTCTTGTCAAATGGAGTGGGTGTTTCGTGCTTGAAAGTTTAGTCGTCTAAATGGGGACTTTGAAGGTTTGTAAATTTAAATTCTTTAATTTTTTAGGACTTTAAAGTGGTTTTTTGGTAAATATGAAACCATAGGTTTATAGTGCAGTTTTCCAAGCTCATTGTAATGCAGAAATGTGAATTGACGCTTTTATTGTTGGGTGAATGAGCGCTGTTGGGATCTTGAAGTAACACGATTTCCTTTGTGCGCCTTACTCGCATTAGTACTGTGTTGGTTATATATCCTGCGTTGCTCGTTAATATATCTACCTCTACTAGCATTTTTTCAACATCATTTTGAGATATCACATGTTGGCTCAGCACAAACGCACTATTCAACTTTTCAGCAAAGCGTTGTCGCAACCTTGAGGGGGTTATCTTTTCTGTTATACGTGTGACTGGTTCGAACCAGATATAACATTCACTAGTTCCAATATCCATTGTCTTCTTTTACGAGCTAGTATGAACCAATTTAATTTCTTTATGCTCGCTTCTTGATTTTGAGGTGAGGGTTTCTGGCCTTCGGTAAACTTCTGCGTAGTTCATCCCGCCAGTCGACTGTCATAGCTTTGGTTAACCCAAAAAGGAGTTGTGCTGGGATTAATTATATGTTGTTTGTAGTATTTAGTGTGTTAAGACTTTGTTACTACTGTGAATGGAGTTGATCCTTTCACCAGTTGGCCCTCCGGTATCGTCATCAGAAGAAAAGAGATAATAACAAATATTAGTATAGTTTATTTAGACTAAAAGACAAAAAGAAATTTGTAAACGTAAGAACAGACAGCTAATTAAATTTGGAGTTGATATATATATATATTATATAACGTATGTACATTTACATACATAAATGTATATGTACACAATTACTAATAGTTATAAGTGTAAGTGTAGTAGTGAGAGTAGTCAGGAGAGTGAGACAAGAGAATATGTGAATTGAAGCGGCGAATTTAGATGTCTGCTGGTAAGGAGTTCTGGGATGGCACATTTGCAGTTAATGGAAATGGGAGCGCGCCCGAGTCTTTGTCCTCTGGTAAGCTCTCTTTCTGGGATTTCTACAAGGAAGCCCATGCATACTCAATGGCAGAATACCTTTGTTTGGGTGATTCTCGTCATTTATTATCTTATAGGCAGTAATCAATTCCCCCGTAAGCCAACGGTAGTTAAGTGTGAAGAGACCTAATTTCTTTAGCCTTTCATCATACGATTATTTCGGAGACCCGCCACTCATTTTGTCCCCCGCCTTTGGACTCTTTCCAAGAGGTTTGCGTCTTTTCTAAGCAGTGGGAGTGCAGTTATATTGTACACTTCAAGGTGTGGTCTAACGTATGCTTTGTACAACTTTAGAATGCATATGTGTATGTGTAAGATGTATGACCGCATATGCCCTCGCTGCATTCCCCGTGTAATTTACGTGTCCATTTTTTCCGTTACAACTAGACCTTAGCCACGCTCCAACGTTGTGCAGGACAAGCTTTCATCGCACACAGTGTAACTTGCATTCTGCAGCTTACAAGTGGGTAGTTTCACTACTTTGGACTTTTTCAAGTTGAAAGTCATACCATAGGCCACCGCCCATTCTTCCAGAAGCTTTAGATCTGCCTGCAGCCTATTTGAGTCTTCCGAGCACTTTATTGCCCTACATATCTTTACGTCGTCAGCGTATAGAAGAGTTGGGCAGCTTAGATGGCATGGCAGGTCATTGATAACAATCAAAAACATCAATGGACCTAGGATAGAACCCTGCGACACTCCTGATGACAAGCCGTGTCAAGATAATCGGACTCGATTGACCTTAGTGCGAAATTTCCTTCCAGCTAGGTAGTCCTTTAACTATGACAGAAGCGGCTCATCTATAGCTGCCTGACTTAGTTTGTATAGGAGGTCATGGTGAACTGTGTCAAATGCCTTCTCAAAGTCTGGGAAGACCACATAGATTGAGATGTTCATATCCTACCATGATGTCCAATCGTCCCAAGCCGATAGTAGGTTTGTTACACTGGACCTGCCTTTCCTGAGACCACATTGGGCTTCATAGAGTCTTTTAGTTCTATCGAGGTGCTCCTTGATGTGACCATCAATAATACTTTCCAGTACTTTTGATACCACTGCGAGTAGGGCTACTGGTCTATAACTGGTGGCATTTTGCTTATCCCCACCCTTGAAAATATGAAAAATCATGGCTGTTTTCCACTCCCTCGGCAGTTTTCCTGAATCCATCGAGTGTTGGAACAAGTCGGATAAGGGCCTACAGAGAGCTTCGGCACACTTTTTCAGGACAGAAGGCCTGGTGTTGTCATAACCTGGGGACTTTCCAGATGTGAGTCGCTGCAGCTTCCCTAGTACTATTGCCGGGTTTATTTTGAGAGTAGCCCATAATTTTTCTGCGGTGAAGTAGTAATGTTGCTATTACCAGTAATACACACTGATGTTTAACTGTTTGCCGAAGGCTAAACTGAACGTCAAATAAAGTATAATTATATTTCAATAGTTTACACACAATGATAAGTTTTGTTATTGGTAATTTTGCTCGAAATATTATCAGTAACAAAACTTATCAGTGTGTAAACTATTGAAATATAATTATGCTTTATTTGATTTAATCCACAATGCTCAAACTTTTTACTGATATTAATTAAACAATGCATCAGCTATCTTCAGACTAGTGAGGTATTGACCATTTGGACCTACTAAAGCGCATGCCCCCTGGTTGTTTGGTTGGTTTATTTTCCGACATGAATGGATACAAGCTTTTGGGGTTCGTCAGGAGTATTTTGGCAAGGTTAGCCTGAGATGAACTCCTGACTGTCACGTTGCATCGTTTTCTAAGTTCCAGGTATGCATCATGGTTGACCTGGTTCTTGCATACTCGCCACGTAGACCAAGCCTTCAGCTATGCTTGCAGAGTACGTTGCGTACCTCTCTTCAGCCATAAGGACCTTTTCTTCGGCTGCGTTGTGACTAAAGGGACAGTATCCGAGATTGCTGTGTGAATAACCTCTCTTACTACTTCCCAGTGTTCATCCCCAGATAACTCATCCCATGCTAAGGGCCATTCTGCGTCCGACAAAAGCCCCCGCATTTTGGCTTAGTTAGCCTTGTTATAGCACAGACATTTTCGCTTAGCGCTCCACTGCAAGTGCTCACGGGGAACAAGATCGAATCCTATGACTGTATGGTCACTACTTCTGGACATTTTCGACGAGTTAGAACATTCAGTTTTGATGACTTTCCACTGGGGCCCCACCTAGTATCGTCTCCGACATTCTCAGTTAGTCCTGTATTTCTAATGGTATGTAGTAGATTTCGACCGAATTTCCCCTGAGCATACACCGAGCCAAGGTTCAAGGATGGGCCATTGACTGCTGTTAGTGTCTATTTCTTAACTTCATAATCATAAATAAAATATCGGAGTTTTTTCCCTGTTGTCTAAATTTGATTTTCTTACATTAATTGTGCAATATAGAAAATCGTTAGTATGTTGGTGAAATATTGCTTATAACATGTGATTTGGTAAAGTTAAACTTTAAGCACCAGTAAATATTAATGGAATGTGACGCCAATGTTAGTGAAACGTCCACTGAAACCTGGCAAATAATGTAACCACGAATAAAATATGCTTAGTGAAGTGTTATGTTTTTAACAGGGATATCTAGCAAGTTTCAGGTTAGGTTTAGGAAAGATTAAGTTTTGGCCAAGGATAGGTTAGGGTTAGGTTAACCTAACAATGACGACATTAGGATTAGTTCAAATTAGAATAGGTTAGTTTAGGGTTATTTCCACGTTAGGGTTAGGTTAAGGAAAAATTAGGGTCAGAATACCTAGATACTTACATGTACAGAATGTGGTTAAATTACTCTGTTGATACTCCAATTCAAAACTAAAGGGGTATTTTTGTCATATGTCACAGAGAGGTACGCTCTGTAACAGTTTTATGCTTTTTTAATTCATTATTTTCATGATTATATGTATTTTACACGCGAAAATCGCCTGTATCATGTGGTTGTTGAGTTTAAGACCACTTTCCGTTATTACTTACTGGTGTTTAAAGTTTAACTTTGCCCGTGACTTTTATTCTAACCCAGTTTTTGTACAACGCCTAGCTATATGTAGCTGGCACTGTAATAGGGAAGCAGAAGTAACCTCTGAAAGTGTAAATTTATTTGATAAAATCTTGTCCAGTTTTATTTACTGATGGTTTTATAACACTGAGTTTGTCAAATAAATTTGTTGCATGATAAAATTGCAATCTGCCACAATGCTCAAGTTCTATTCTTGCTTCAAAAACTTATAGTGTATATCAAAGTGTACAAACGAAATCCGTGATTCACTTAGCAGGTATCGCCTCTAAGCAACGTAAGGTGACATGGCATGGTGCCAGATGTTCAGAGGATATGACAGTGTAACCTCAGTATAAGGAGTACACGAGAATATTCAACAGATAAGCTGTAATTGTCCAAAGCACTGTGGTTTACGTGTTTCTGACGTCACATTCGATGCATATTATTAGATCAACTGCATTATTTTGTATTATAAACTCTGTATACTACTTTTGCCGATAAAGTTTTAAATTAAGCATGCATATTATACCATATTAAGTTCCTTAAGTCCTTTGATATAAATGTGTGTTGTAAATCTCCCTTTGGTTCGGATTGCTAGAATTAGTCACATTTATTTATTAGGTTAATTATTAGAAAAAAGGCCTCTTTACCCGTTAATTCATAGAGCCTCACTAAAGAGAATGTATGTCAAAAAAAATCGTCTTATAGAATGCTGTGTAATCGAATATTATTATTAGCACTAGTTTCTATGGTGAGCTGTGTCCTGAGGTGTTTATATCGAATAGTGTCGGTCAGAGACATATTACCTGTATTTTCAGCTACTTATGCGACAATGGAGGTCTGTATTTTCACTTTTGGCTTCAAATTTATGAAGATGCTAATGAAAATTCCTTTTGTTGACTAGAGTATTCAGATAAAATAGTCCTGTTTGGGGAAAGATACTGACAAGATACAGGGATTTGACACCGCAAATGACATTCTGATAACATTTGAATCATACTTCGTTTCGTAATGTAATTATTAATTGAAGACTACAGGGAGTAAAAGAGTTTGAATTCGTCGCCATTTTACTTGCCTGGGATGTTGCAACAGTCTTGGTGAGTTGATAGTTGATGAGATGTCATCAAAATTATGAGGAATTCTCTGTTTTTACCGCATTTCTTATGAAACAAATGATATAACTTAAGTGTATTGTGCTTTGTCTTCTATAAATGTGAAATTTTGCCGTTAGATGCAGATCTACGAGAGCTCCAAGTATTTGACGACAGCTAATTACTTTGTTTACTTTTGATACAGACACCATTTGGACAGCGTTTAAGTATAAATCCTTGAGTATGGCAAGTTACTTATTCGTTTGATTGATTAAGCTCACTCGCCTTAGTTTACCGAGATATTACACGTACTTACTCGTGGTTTACTTCCATGTGGTGTTAATAGACAGAATTGTTTTGGCAGAAGACAGAGTAGGCAGACTAGGAAAGTCACAATAAATTAAGCTATTCACTCTCGATCTAGGCCGTGTAGCTAAGTGGAGTTCGCTTAGCTGATGCCTATACTTCGAGACGTTAGCCAATTCAGTCTATTTGTATTTGGGTAGATAGATTCATATCTTCTACTTATCTTGACTATAATATTACTTCTCCCCACTTGTTCTTTTTCTTAACCTGCCTTATAACGATTTACATTTGCTTATATGATTTTCATCCCTTTGTTCTTATTACTGGCTCAATTTACAAGTGTAACAGTTTGGACCATTAATCGGTAATCCTAAATATTTTATTGGTATCTGTTTTCATGATGCAATTTTTCATAGATTATGTCGCGTTATCTTAGATTGAGTCTTAATATTTCCACCAAAATGAACTGATTCCTTGTCCTTTGTTCTAAGTTTCGTTTGCTTGAAAGACCGGCTAGGATATTCCTGACTTATGGTTAACTTGTTTCTGTTAGACATTGTAGTTCAAGTAGCTTCACTCATCATAAATACTATGTGTAATTAATACATCTTTTCTACAAATATTTTAGACGACTGTCCGGCGATCAATCAGTTCCACATGGACTTCGTTCAAACGGATGGTGTTGCATCGCCGTAAACTCACTGCTTTGATTTGCGTATTGGTGGTCTTAATTACACTTTATACCGTCATAAATCAACACATAGGTTAGTCTGTATTTCATGACGAACTATTTCTAGCAAGTTTCAGTGGTGATGCAGATAAACCTATTTTATACATACTCACTGCAACTTACCAAAGAAATGTTCAAAGAGCAGAACTTACAAGAATATGTAACACTTTGCACAATTTGAAAGAAATTTTATGGATTCTTGTAGAGGACAGTGTGAAGCCTACACGGTATTTATCTTTTTCTTTTCTAGTTTTTATTATGCCTTATAAGCTTAAATGGTAACATTGTTCAGGAATGCTATCTTGTACCTAAACAGTTTTCCCATTTTATATATTTTTTTAAAAATAACTTTTGTCCATTGTTGCCAACCGTCTACCAAGCTAGCGCAATTTCCATTCAACCAGTTGTCTTTAGAGTGGTAGAAATTTATTTGAACGTTATGTGTTCTCCTACTCTTTAATTCTTTCCAGAGTTGTTGCAAATATCCTAGATAATTGTGGAGTTCCTTTTGTGCACCTAAACATACCAACACCTCGCTCTGAAAAGCCTAAAGTGAATGAACCGTACTGGTTTCGTCCCAAAGGCATACATCAACGAAATCTTGGACTTCAGTGGTTGCGCCAAAATCTTATTTTGGGTAAAAACAAAGGTGTTTTATATATCGCAGATGATGACAACTCATATGATTTACGTATATTTGAAGAAGTAAGTTAATAGATGGTGTTTTGGTGTCTATTACATGTTTTATCCCGCATTTTAGCAGTCTCTTTTTATGATTTGCCTCAAAAAGCTTAAGTTCGTGTGAATTAGAAAACTGCTTTTTGAAAAATAGATGAATAAAAGCTTAGCGAAAATTACGGTTATAATACAAATTGTCAAATGCTGCAAGTTACATCCCTATTATTCTCTTGGTGTTTCAGTAGCTTGTTTTTGTTTTGTTTTCCACGGAATTTTGTTTTACTTCAAGTACGATATATGCCTCTCCTCTAGGTATATGTAAGTTAAAATAAACAACAGTTGAATACTTTCATTTGGGCCTGGGCAGTACATTTCGTTAGCTTGGTATGACTATGTAACTCAAAAACCATACACAGGCTTGTGTGCTATATAAACAGATAAACCTATAGGTAAGGGCTAATGGCAGTCTACTGATTTCATCTTATAAAAGGAGGAGAGTTTCCTAATCTGTGAAATTTACACTATGTGGAACGTGACTATAAGGCTTATATAGGTAGCCAAATGTATCGGATGAATTATCAGCAGCGGAAATTCCCCCTAGTAAAGATCTGGTTCTAGCCTTAGATGACGACCAGTGGTGTCCGTCAAGGATGCCCATTATCCCCTTTTCTATTCAACTTCATCATAGATGTGTTAATGGACTTAACCCTAAGTGACTTCAGCGACTTGGTGACTTGGAATATGCAGACGCTATAGTCCTTCTAGGCGAAGACGCTGTCTGTCTGTCTGTTTTCGACATAGAACTTTGCACAAATGTGCGGAAGTTCAAGTCGCCACATTCCGTGTAGCACGCGAAGCAAGAGAAGAAAGTACAAGAAAAGCATAATAGAAACAGTGAGCAGAGGTGTGAGACAAAGGAGTAATAAAGAAATACAAAACAGTTTCATTGGAGATCATAAGTCACAGGGAGTGGATGCATCTGCGCCACTGAGAACGATTTTGAGCCATGTCACCAATTGTTTCCAACCATAGATTTTTACCGTCCCGAGGACCCCAGCCTGGAAGTCTACACCTTCCTACGTGGCTTAGACCAACTGTTGTGGATTTCATTGACTGATGCCAAGTTTTTGTTTGACCGCCGCTAGCTTTTTTCCAGCCTGACCCTATATCCGCTAACATTGCTCGTCGAGGGAGGCGATGGCTTGGCATACGTAACACATGTCCTAACCATCTCAGTCTTTGTAGCTTCACGACTTCGTCGATTGATTTCCCCTGTTTACCTAGAACTCTACGCCTAACCTCCATGTTGCTCACCTTATTATGCCACTTTACACGGGAAATAGAACGCAGGCACCTATGATCAAAGACAGCTAGTCTTTTCATGTCTTCCACTCTCAGTGGCCAGGTCTCACAACCATAAAGGAGGACGGAGCGGACTGATGAGCAGTACACCCGCCCTTTGGTCGATAGTCGAACATCTCGTCTACGCCAGAGTCGGCGTAAACTAACAAATGCGAAACGAGCCCCTTGTATTCGTGCTGAGATTTCGTCAGAGATCAGCCCGTTGGGGCTGATGGTACTTCCCAAATAAGTGAAGCGGTCAACGTGCTCTACCACTTCACTTCCTATTTTTAAACTAGGCGTCGATGTAGTCCAGTCCTGTAACATCATCTTGCATTTGGCGGGAGCGAATCGCATGCCAAACATTCGTAGATTGCGGCTCAAGGTGTTTAGAAGACTCTGCATTTCGTCAGCGTCTTCGCCTAGAAGGACTATATCGTCTGCATATTCCAAGTCAACGAGATTATTCCCCGGTAGCAAGTCAATCCCTGAGTCGCTGAAGTCACCTAGGGTTAAGTCCATTAACACATCTATGATGAAGTTGAATAGAAAAGGAGATAATGGGCATCCTTGACGGACACCACTGGTCGTCATCAGTTCAGATGACAGCTCGCCGTAAGCCCTCACCTGGCTGTATGAGTACGAGTAGAGTGCCTTAATCAGTGCAATATATTTTCTCGGAATTCCCTTTACAGCCAAGCATCTCCAGAGAACTTCCCGATCGACAGAGTCGAATGCTGCCTTTAGGTCAAGAAATATAATGACTGTTGGACGCCGGTAGGAATGCCTATGTTCTAGAATCTGTCGGAGGGTGAAGATATGATCAATACACCCTCTTCCTGGTCTAAAGCCTGCCTGGCTCTCTCGTGTTTGTGCTTCCCGAGCACCACTCAGTCTACGCATGATTATTGAGCCTAAGACTTTAGATACTATATTAGTCAAGCTAATCCCTCTGTGATTATCACAGGAAGACTTGTCTCCCTTCTTGTATATGGGGATAATCAGTGACTTACACCAACCCGATGGGACTTCTTCTGATTCCCAGACGCTGCCTAGTACCTCAGTTAATCCGGACAGTAAGCTGTCTCCACCGTACTTAAATACCTCTGGCGTCATTCCATCAGGTCCCGCTGCTTTGCCTAGTTTCAGATTGGTGACAGCTTTAGTAACCTCAGTTAGTGACGGAGGACCTGTGTCTATATCCCATTCAGGGAGGTGTTGGATGCTCGGAAGGTTGAGCGTGGCTGTGGGCAAATTAAACTGCTCCTCATAATGCTCTTTCCAACGATCCAGTCGTCTATCCTGTGAGCTAATTATAGTGCCATTTTTTTCCGAGATTGTCTCACTAATGATTTGTCTTCTCCCACCCGTTTCCCTGATGAGTCCAAAGAGTTGCCTGGTGTTGCCTATCCTCGAGGCTTTCTCCATCTCTTTGGCTTTTGCGAAGACGCTGACAAAATTCAGAGTCTTCTGAACACACTGAGCCGCAATCTACGAATGTTTGGCATGCGATTCGCTCCCGCCAAATGCAAGATGATGTTACAGGACTGGACTACATCGACGCCTAGTTTAAAAATAGGAAGTGAAGTGGTAGAGCACGTTGACCGCTTCACTTATTTGGGAAGTACCATCAGCCCCAACGGGCTGATCTCTGACGAAATCTCAGCACGAATACAAGGGGCTCGTTTCGCATTTGTTAGTTTACGCCGACTCTGGCGTAGACGAGATGTTCGACTATCGACCAAAGGGCGGGTGTACTGCTCATCAGTCCGCTACGTCCTCCTGTATGGTTGTGAGACCTGGCCACTCAGAGTGGAAGACATGAAAAGACTAGCTGTCTTTGATCATAGGTGCCTGCGTTCTATTTCCCGTGTAAAGTGGCATAATAAGGTGAGCAACATTGAGGTTAGGCGTAGAGTTCTAGGTAAACAGGGGAAATCAATCGTCGAAGTCGTGAAGTTACAAAGACTGAGATGGTTAGGACATGTGTTACGTATGCCAAGCCATCGCCTCCCTCGACGAGGAATGTTAGAGGATATAGGGTCAGGCTGGAAAAAAGCTAGCGGCGGTCAAACAAAAACTTGGCATCAGTCAATGAAATCCACAACAGTTGGTCTAAGCCACGTAGGAAGGTGTAGACTTCCAGGCTGGGGTCCTCGGGACGGTAAAAATCTATGGTTGGAAACAATTGGTGACATGGCTCAAAATCGTTCTCAGTGGCGCAGATGCATCCACTCCTTGTGACTTATGATCTTCAATGAAACTGTTTTGTTCTTCGTTATTACTCCTCCTTTGTCTCACACCTCTGCTCACTGTTTCTATTATACTTTTCTTGTACTTTCTTCTCTTGCTTCGCGTGCTACACGGAGTGTGGCGACTTGAACTTCCGCACATTTGTGCAAAGTTCTATGTCGAAAACAGACAGACAGACAGTCTAGCCTTAGATGAGATTCTTTTTTTACTTTGAACTCGTCTTTTGGACAGCATATTATTTCGGTATAGCAAAACTCCCCATTTAACCATTCAGAAAACAGCTTATTGAGATGAAAATTGGTCCACGTTAGTGGCTCTACACGAATATATATAGCAATTCTTAAACACAGCACATACTTGACCAGATTTGTTGGGGTGACTGACTGGCTGGTTTCAACATGGAACATCGTACTCAAGTGCAGCGATTTGAGTCGCAACACTCCTTGTAGCGCATTTAGTGGGGGGTAGTTTTCTTTGACAGTCAGAGAAGTGGTAATCAATCAGTGAATTAGAAAAAACGGAAACGAGTGGTTGCATAATAATTTGTACGGTGAAAATAAGAAGAATGAATTAGTGACTAAATTATTAAAGTCGGTTTAATGAGAATAGTTGGAGGTAGAATAAGCAGACTAATAGGATAGTGAAAGTAATAATAGTAGGTTAATAGGATAGAGGGTGAGTGAATGATGTGTTGCGTTTAGTTGAAGGGAGGCAAGATGTAGAGCGTCACTGTATAAAAATGTTCGGGGCACACAACCGGTTTATTCAGGTGGATTTCAATGTCTATTGTGTGCCAAAGAATTAAGCTCCATAGGAATACGGTAAGTAGCTTGAAATGCCTTTCCATATAAATTTTATAGTCAGTACGGACAAAATGTTCTAGAATTGCAAATCGACTTCATTTACCCCGTTGTCCAACTATGCGGAATGATTTTCAGGCAAACGACGATGACTGTACCTAATTGCACACCCTATGTAACTGGATTCCTAAAAGCAGTGAAACTAGTAGGTACACGTGGTGGAAGTGAAATTTGGAGGGTTATCTTTGTTTCTGGAACACAATACCAGTTAATTTTTTAACATACAGTACAGTTGTGTTGTTTCATAGCATGCTTTCTATGTATTGGGATTCTACCAATGTTACCACAAAATCGCGATTTTAGGAAGAGCTGTTTAGGCACTAACTTTCTAAGACGGAACTCTTCGAGATATTGGTTTTGCTGGGTGATCTACTGATAATCCTTAATTCCTTTCTGATAGATTTATTTGAGCGGACTACTCTGGCTCTGTTAAACCAAAGACTTTACTAGGTTGTGTATAAATGTCAAAGATCCAGAACTCAAAAGTGCTCCGTCGATGTTGGTTTTCTATATATGTGCTCATTTATATTGTTCCTTGTTTTTCCCAGTTGTCAAAACGTCTAGGAATAAAATATCCTTACTGCTTTCTTTCTTGGTGGTAAAATTCATTACCGATAGTAATTCATCAGATTTGGTCAAAATATTCGTTGTCTCACTCTCAATTACTGGAATGAAGAATATGTCGACGATAAAATTCCAACTAGCTAGATATACTTATCAAAAGTAACTTTTTTTATTTTATTTAGAAAATATCATCTAGGATTAGCCCCAGCGGAGACTCGTATACCCAATCCCACTGCTCCTACTAATGGCATCCTTCAAATGGTCTCACTAAGTCACTATGCAATGAATTGATGGATTCTATCAACCATTTAGTTTTCAAATGATATGGAGAATGTAACGTATCTGTTACTTGTTATTCAGTAAATAGGTCGATTAATATAGTAGGTGCTTAACTTTTGGTTGATATTTTCCACATGACCGTTTCGCGGTCGATAACTGCTACCTTCTCGTGGTGGTGGGACTTAAATACCTCTTTCCGACCTAGAGTATTCAGAAGATATCGTCTTACTTTGGGATAACATTCAGGCTGCCCAAATCGCACTTAATCAGTTGGTGATCAGTGTCTGTAAATATGGTATGTACTTTGCGCCGTCAAAGTACAAAGTACTGTTACAAGATTGGCAGGAATCTGTGCCTGCACATAATCTTGTAGGTGAAACGCTTGAAGTTGTTGATAAGTTTGTGTATCTGGGTAGTTGTATGAGTGCTGGCGGAGGGCTGATGGATGAGATTTATAACCGTATCATGAAAGATAGTGTGGGATACATTGACTTGAGCCACCTCTGGCACCGTCGCGACGTTAGCCTGGCTGTCAAAGGTCGGGTATACAATGCTTCGTAGCGGGCTGTCTTGCTCTACGCCTGCGAAACCTGGCCTCTTCGAGTAGGCGAAAGATGTGCGGCAGCTCTGCGCATTCGATCATCGATGTCTCCGCAGGATTGCTTGCGTTCAAGGGTATCATCGCGTGAGCAGGTCTGAGGTCCGGCGGTGCGTGTTTAGGCACAGTGGAGATCACCACTCGTTGAGTGTCATCATCCGGAAACACCTGTTTCGATGACTTGCACATGTGCTACGAATGTCATCCCAGAGGCTTCCGTACAGGTCTCTGTTCGCTATCTCTGAAGGGATGGAAAGGCGGAGAGGTGGTCAGCCCTTGACGTGGCGTTGTGGGATGAAGGATGTTTGTGCTAGATTAGCATCGGTTGGTGAGTCACGACTCCCTGGTTGGAGTCCGAGAGATAGCTCGAATCGATGGCCCGAAACTTTATCGGATATGGTCAAGAATCGTAATCAATGGTGAACGTGCTGCAATTTGGGCTTCATTTAATTCTATGTATTCTCTCTCATAAGTCAGCTCTATGTGTAAAAGTATTTTATAATTTCAGATGCGAGGTACAATCAGAGTTTCAACGTGGCCAGTTGGGTTTGCAGGTGAACTTCCATGGGAGGGTTGTGTGACATCCACAAATGGAACGTATATCACAAGTATGTGGTCAGTGTATAAACCTGAACGTCCTTTTCCAATTGATATGGCTGGTTTTGCTGTTAACGTTGATCTTATTCTCAAAAATCCAAATGCTGGTTTCGACTACAAACGTCCTCGTGGGATGCAAGAATCACAATTCTTGTTGGATCTTGGCATAAAACATTGGAGAGAGTTAGAACCACTGGCAGATGGTTGCCAAAAAGTTAGTAACGAAATCGTTGGTACTTAATTGTGTGGTTTTGTAGATGACTAAAATTTTAGTTACTTATTCAGATATGACTTTGCAACTATTAGTAACAGCAAGTAGACTGATTTTCTCTGTCTTATTGGTTTTTATTACACAGGCTGCATAAAAGTATGTTACTATCAGTGCTAAAAACTTATTTCACGTCACTGACATCTGAAGAAAGTTATTCTGTATATTTCTTCGTTTTTTGCTTCATTTTTTGAATACATTCCCACATGCCCCTTACCATTTCCACCAGATGTTAATTACAAAGGATTTTACTGTTTTTTCATATATTATTGAGAAGACAGTTACTGGATCCAATTAAAAGTAGGCCAAATTCAATCAATTCATAATTAGATTGATTTGTGTATCTTAAAATAGAGATATACGGTAACTCATTTCGGTGTACTCATGCAATTTTTGAAAAGTTTAGCCATGATTCAACGTCAAGGAATTTCTAACAGTCACATCTTAGTGTCCAATGGCTTTAAGCTAGTATTTTTTCAATCTCATGTAAAGTGTCATAAGATTTTCTTAAATAACGAGGTTGCCAGACTCCTTAACTTCTGTTTTCAGAATAAATTTGTGTTACTGCCTCCTAGTCAACATAATTTTTAGTTGGAATACTAATTGTTTCCGGTTTCATCGACCCCAGAGGTTACACCGTTGGTGGTGAGCTTGGCACCGAACAATCGAAATGGTCGTCGAGTGTTTAGATCACCCTCGTCTTGTTAGCAAGTACTACTGGTTGGTATGAGTGGTATACAACTGCTCGTCCCGATGAATCAGTAGTATATAGTTTGATTTTAGTAATTATTAACTGTTTATTGGCTGGAAACATCTGTATTATGGAGAAGATTTGTAGCTCAGGTGGATGATTTTGATGTGGTTGTGTTCTCTAAGCTGGGTAGTTAATTTGCGAAGCTTTCATCGCCCCACTACTAGGCGACTTCTTCAGCGCATACTTCAATTTGAAGTGAGTTTTTAGATTTCTCCACGAGCTTATTAATTATCTCTCCTGGTTGGTGGACTTGGACGTGATTGGTTGTTTTTTTTTGTGTTTTTTCACCTTCTAAGCTACTTGTATTGGAACTGATTGTTTCTTTGACTTGAACTTTGACCCTTTGTGTGTGAAGTTTCTTTCTTATTGGTTGATAAATTTTCTCTATCCCGATGTGTCTATTGATTGATGATTCACTGGAATGCCAAGCTTCTAAAAATTCTCTAGCATTCTTGTTATTTCCTTTGTCTAATATTTAAACGTTGTCCCAGTCGAACTGATATCCGTGGTTGTTTGTATGTAGTGATATGAGGGAGTGGATATCATGTCTTTTGACGGCTAGCTTACGTTTACGGATACGAAGACGAAGGGGACGTCCATTTTGGCCAATGTAGTGTTTTTCGCAGTTGTTACAATTTATTTTGTAGATGATGTCGGTTTTATCTTCTTTCGCTGTTAAGTCTTTAGGTTGACATAGAACTGATTGAAATGATTTTGTTGGTTTGTGTACGACGTCAATTCCTAAAGAAAGAAACCTCACACACAAAGGGTCAAAGTTCAAGTCAAAGAAACAATCAGTTCCAATACAAGTAGCTTAGAAGGTGAAAAAACACACAAAAAAAAAAACAACCAATCACGTCCAAGTCCACCAACCAGGAGAGATAATTAATAAGCTCGTGGAGAAATCTAAAAGCTCACTTCAAATTGAAGTATGCGCTGAAGAAGTCGCCTAGTAGTGGGGCGATGAAAGCTTCGCAAATTAACTATCCAGCTTAGAGAACACCACCACATCAAAATAAGTCTCTGTCTACGTTTGTTGAATTGAATTCTTTTTATTCTGTCTGTTTAGATTTTAGTCTGGCATACACGTACAGCAGAACCAGTCTTAACACTCTGGAATAAACTAGAATCTCAAGGAGTTGTGCCACCACCTATCAGTGATTGGCCATAACATTTGTCGATATTTGATTTGCATTTATATCGAAAGTGAAGATAGAAATCTCAACACCCGATCTGAAATGCTTTTATGGAAGTCAAAGGCCATCTAACGTTTCGCTTAAATGGAGTAGATATATAATAATGAAATGAGTACAATTTTGAAAGCTCATATCTATCTTCAGATATCAAACTTTCTATGATCACGACATGACGATTAATTGCATCATAACTTTGTATATACCATGCAATTTATGTTATTTTTTATACCTCAGTATGTTAGAAATAAAAGTTTGAAAACTATTATTTCTTTTCTCTACTTTTTATTTGTTTCCTGCCAATACTTATTTGTTCGTATCCTCAATTTAAATTGTCTTTCTCTTTGTGTTATTTAAAAATAATCATGAATTACTTAAATGAATAAATTTATCAAGTGTTGATTTGAAGAGATTTGATTGGCTGCAGGTTTGTTGACTAGTTGACATCAGACAGAAAGCCACTGGAAGACCATGGAGGACTGGATAGCCTTTTCATCTTAGTTGGGGACCCATCAGCAGTATACAGTCGTTAGGGTTCAAACCTAGGACCTTTCGATTACAAGGCGAGCTCTTATACCATTCATCCACTGGCACACGGCCCAGTGGTTCTCTGACTGATGTTAGCTTGTGTTCAAAACTTGTAATAAATTTATTCAATAAAGAGAGGGAACAGAAGTCGTCAGTTAATAATTGGAAGTTATTTTCGACCAGATTCACAAAGAAATTGGCCATTCAGTCAATAATTTGAGGATATAACATTTATTCACCATATCTAAGGTAAATGTTTTATTGTACTCACTTTTACAGATGGTAGTTTTGCAGTTGTCCATTGTCAACTTCCAACCTGTAGCTGCAAGTTGATTTGTCAATCAGTCAGTAACCTCTATCTTCACATAGTTCCTTCCATCTTACGTCACAGTAGTCTAACAAGATTATAAAATTTAGCTTAGAATAAAATGTTTCGTTTTTAAGAAATACTAAGACCTAAATTCATGTTTTTCCTATACTTTTTTATTTTATTTTTGATTACAGCTTGATTCCACACTGTATTTTTGGTACAAGTATGGAATTTTCAGCATGGATATCGGTAGCCCAAATTTCCCAAGCCGACCATAGATATCAGATGTGCGTCGGTAGGGAATCGAACTTCGGACCATGTGCATGGTCGGCGAGAGTCCTAACCACTGTGTCACTGACACACACTATACACTGTGCAGCACATAAGTGTATTAACCAAAACTCAAATAGCTAGAATTTTTCATGTCAGTAATATCGAAATAGATTTCCTATTTGTGATTCTGACATTCAAGTTAGAAGCATGTTAGCCTCTGTAGTAAATTTACTTCATTTACATGTAAAACGACATGTTCCATAAATCATTATCTGCAAATATCGTGAACGCTGACTAACTGGCTTCAACGTAGAACTTTGTATAGATGTACAGCAGTTTGAGTTGCCACTCTCCCTCTATGTAGCACATAAAGCAAGAGAAGAGAGTAAAGAGAGATTTAAAAGTGATAATAAACAGAAATACGAGGCAAAAAAGAATAGTAATGTGAAAGAACAATAGAGTTTTATTGGATATGACAAATTACAAAGAGTGATGATAACATTTGTGCTATTGACAATGATTTTCAATCATATCATCAACTGACTCCAACCATCGGTTCTTACCATCCCGAGGACGTCAACCACGAAGTCTACACCTCCCTAAGTGGCTGACTTAAACTAAGTGTTGTGCATTTCATTAACTTATGAGGCCATGTTTTAGTTTGACCACCACTGTCTCTTTTCCAACCTAATTCCATGCCAGCTAACATTGCCCGTCGGTGGCACAGTGGTTAGGACTTTCGCCAACCATGCCCATGGTCCAAGGTTCAATCCCCTGCCGACGCACACCTGATATCTATGGTCGGCCTGGAAAATTTGGGCTACCGATATCCATGCTGAAAATTTCATATTTGTACCAAAAATACGGTGTGGAATCAAGCTATAATCAAAAATAAATAAAAGTATGCGGTGGCTCGGCATGTGCAACGCATGTCCTAACCATCTCAATCGGTGTAACACTGAACACTAATCAAATCGTTCGAACGTACTTTAAAATAGCACAGACAAGGCAAAGCGAATTTACTTATGACGCAATGAAATAATTCGCGATATAGTACTTATAGTGGTTGCTGATAACGTCTTAATTGTAAACACCAGTGTAACTAGTGATAAGAAATAAAAGAATTTATTAAATAAGTAGTATAATTTCAGTTGTAGAGAACACATGTCATGCTAATGCTAACACTGCTTTCTTTGTCGTAATTAGTTCAGTAGCTTTATATGAAAAGCTACTATCGTAATTATCAATGTTTGATTTCTTTTTTTCTTGTAATATATTGTTTTAAAGAATGTAAAGGTGCTAAATGTTTCTGTAACTAATATTGTTTTTGATTTCTTTTCCAAATGTACTGTAGTAATATGGAGACTTTGCAGGATATAGCCTCCTCTGCTTTAAAAGATAATCCATACTTTAGTGCAGGTGCAGGACTTTTTGGAGTTGGAGTTGGTATGGCTGCTCTTAGAAGAATAGGTCAAGTTATGAATCTTCTTGTTCGTCGGAATCTTACTCTTACCCTAGAAGTAGCCAGTTATGACAAAGCTTATCCATGGGTATTACACTGGATAACAATGAAATCTAGTGGACCTTTAGCAAATAATGCAAAAGGCAGAATGAGTGGTGCAAGTCAACATCTCAGTGTAGAAACTAATGTTATACGCACAGAAGGTGGTCGAATCAAAGCTGCATTTGATTTTGTACCTAGCGTTGGTGTCCATTACATGACTCATCAGATGAGATTGATACGTGTTGAACGCGTTCGAGCACAACAGTCACTACAAGGTGCATCAGTAGCTCCGTTTGAAAGTGTAACTCTTACTACTTTTGGTCGGAATACCAGATTTTTTATTGATCTACTCGAAGAGGCTAGAGAAGAAGCATTGGCTCGAGAAAAAGGTTGGACTGTTGTCTACAAGGTGAGTTTGATTAGGGAAATATCTACACTTCCTTATAATTACTATTATCTACATTCAGTACTCATAACTAATTTACTAATTCGCCTTCATATTTGATTTGATGATAAAAAAATTTCTCAGACTTGTCGGATTATAGTTTCAACTGTTTTCCGCTTTCTGATTATTTCTAGCATATTTATACAGTTTATAATGTGATGTCGTTTTTTATTGCGCCTCGAATAATACCATCAACAGTGGAAATTTACAAGCAGTAATTGTATACAAGCTGTGATATAGAGATTTATTTGGACGACCTTAATAAATTTGAAACACATATAAAGAAAAATTATTACAGGGAATGAAGACACAAGCGAAAGTTATGCCGTAATGTTTGCGTTTACTGACTGACTGAATTTCAACATACGGTTTTGCAAAAAAGTGAAGCAGTTCTGGTCGTCACACTCCATATTGCACATTAAAGTAGACAAAAGAGAGGAAAAGTTAAATTAAAGAATTAGTATTATTAGAATAATAAACACAAATATGAATGACAAAAAATAGGAAAATGGTAAAACATGATGGTTTAGTGGATATGTGGGATCACAGAAATTAAATGCATGCATCCGCACTATTTAGCCACATCACCGATAGTCTTCAGTCACTGGTTCTTAGAATCCTGAGGATGCCAACCAGATGGTCTACACTTCATCACATGACTCAAACCAACTAACAAAGACTTTATGGACTGATTGCAAGTTTCGGTTTCACCACTCCTAACGCTTTCCCATCCTTATCCAATGTTGATTAGCATTGCTTTCCGAGGAAAGCGATGGCTCAACATGCGCAACACATGTCCTAGCCATCTCAACCTATGTCCAAGAGAAATTATTTAAAATTGATGGATTAAATAACAGTTTGTTTTAATGACCTACTAGTTCAGTTAGTTTATCTAAAGGACAAATACTGACTGAATAGTTGTTGTGTGCTCTAAAGTACAACGTCATAATCTAATTGGTATTAAGTGTTTTTTAACCGATTATGAGTAAAAGGAGAATGTAATGGAAAAAAATACAAATGTGTCCAACATTTCTTAGCCGAATATGCCTCAAATATGATGAATTATGTAAACAAATTTGCTTCGGTGGAATAGCGGTTAGGACGCTCGCCGACCATGGTCCGGGGTTCGATTAGTCATAGTTATTTCCCGTACATGCTTACTCTACTATTTCTGAAGTGGTTGTTTTCAACCTGTTGATTTAGGCTGTTGGTTCAGAATGGCGACAGTTTGGCTATCCACGTCCAAGGCGACCTTTGAATTCTGTTATACTGCGTGATGGCATAGCTGAAGCTATAGTAGCAGATGTGAAAGAATTTGTTGGTAGGTAAGCTTTTCAAGGGAGTTATTTTGTTTATTCATTTTTGTAATGCTATAGTTAACGATACTATCATTAAACTCACATTAGGGTACCTTAGTTACACGTACGAATCTACTTTCTGATATATTTTCTTGAAGAGTTGAATATATTTGCCAGGTCAGCAAGATTTTTGATTACTCTGACGTAGACTGGCTTGTTTGTAATCTAGTAAAAGGTGTTAAAGGCAATTCTATAGGTTTAGCAAATTATAAAGTTATGTAAAGATTTATATGTAGCCACATGATGTGTGTGTTTTGTTTTTGACAGTCTGTTATATTTTGCTGTGTATATGGATCGATATCCCATTATAACTGACAATATGCTTTTGTCTGTCCACTAACTAAATAAACAATGTATGACCTTATTATCACATTACATTACAACCAATCATGGTAAGACGTTATCTTATTGGTTCATGTGTATTAGCCATTTCATATATACTTCTGTATTAGACACTTGTTCAGACTTTTTCGTACATTTAAGTACCCTTCCACTCACTCACTTGTGTGACATTTATTTTCCTTGTCTGGAAAATACAAGTATCATCGCAAACCTAGTGGTCTTCTGATTTCCCTCTTTCCGCGTCAGGACTATTAACTCTCGACGAGTACATAACATAATTGGCGACGGGGAAAACTCTAATAACTCACTCAGCAGCAGTACATAATATAATTGGCGACAGGAAAATTATGGATTCTTCTAAATTGGAATTACTATTTGAGCGACAAATGAAATTGATGGAAATGCTCATCAACCAACAGACTGGTTCAACTTCACCTTCAAGCAATCGGAATCATACCATGCTACCATCTGTCGACGGCATTGTGAACAGTATTTCACAGTTCAATTATGACCCAGAGGCTAATGTCACTTTTGACACATGGTATCAACGTTATGAGGATTTATTCACTGTTGATCTCGCCTCACAAGACGATGCTTGGAAGGTGCGAGTGTTGTTACGTAAATTGGGTCCCGCAGAATATGAAAGGTACTACAACCTAATTTTACCTCGAAAACCACGTGACAGATGTTTCGATGATACAATAAAGCTGCTGCGTGAACATTTTGGAGACCACTCCTCATTATTCAACATATGATATCGTTGCCTCAAGCTGACAATGAATGAAAATGATGATTTTCCTACTCATGTTGGCACAGTCAACCGAGAATGTGGGAGATTTCGACTCAGGTCCTTAACAGATGATCAATTCAAAGCCTTGATTCTCATATGCAGTCTTCAATCTCCTCGTTTCACAGATATCCGAACTCGACTGCTCAATCAGCTAGAACAAAATCCTAAGTTAACATTACATGACATAGCTGACGAATATCAACGGCTGATTAATTTGCAGAAAGACACACACCTGGTCGAATCGAGAACTTCGAGAAGCTCTGATATTCATGCATTACGAAAGAGCGAAAATTTCTCATCATCCAGTCCTGACCCACCTTATTCTAATGTTCCGCGTAAATCTACACATACTCGTCCAGCTTCACAAAATACTGCAAAGAAGACCCCACTATCACCATGCTGGCATTGTGGCGCGTGGCACTTTGTAAAGACTTGTCATACAAAAATCATCGTTGCAGCAAATCATCGGTCCTAAAAATGGTTTTTGTCAGCCACGGAAACTTAGAACGATTCATAACTCCATGTTACCACCGGCACCGAACCGTGCCGACGCATCAATTCGAAACAAAAACAAATTTGATGTTGGTGACTCTGTTTATGTCCGCGACTATCGAGCAGGACATAAACCTTGGAATAAAGGTTCCATCGCAGCACGACATGGACGAGTTATGTACGACGTGAAAGTTGGTAGTGATTTATAGACCCGTCACTACAATCAGTTGCGTCCAAGAAGCTCAAATATCCATAGCAGTACAAAGTCATCTCTGCCTCTGGATGTACTCTTAGATACTTGTAACTATTAACGGCCGACAAAACAGGAAAGCAAAATGACGCAGTTTAGACAACTCCAGACATAGCAGAACCTGCTAACCCAACAAGCAGACGAAGCAAGAGACGTCGACAACAAACTCAACGGTCCCAAGGTAACCCTAAGAAAACACGATACTAATCATTGACATTTATCACTTTCCTTTATTATTTCTGTCATCTTAAATATCATGAGATTCAAAGAAGTACTTTGTAATATGAAATCTTGCAGTGATTACTTTCTTTTTACTAAACTACCTATTTTTCAATAATTTCAGACAATCAGACTTGGTATACTGATCGTGGTATACCATATCATCGTGGTTACTTATTATATGGACCTCCAGGATGTGGCAAAACTAGTTTTATAACAGCGTTAGCAGGTTCGTTGTATGTAACAGATTCTCATTTAAATTTATTCTTATGATCTGATGATTTTGACAGTTAACTTTTTTTCTAAATTGCACCCGGATGAAGAGTCCATATAGGACGAAATGTGCATCCTAGATTCCACTGCTAATTACCATCCCCCAGTTTACTTCAAGTTAAGTAATCAGATACTATCGAAGCATCTGCACAAAGAACCAACTTGTCAACAGAGATCGAACATTTCGGTACAATCATTAAACGGGGAAATCAAAATTGAATTAAAAATATTGTAGACTGTGAATCCTGCGATACAGAATTCCTTATATGGTAGGCTTTACTAATAATGTACACCTGATAAACGAGTTTATCATCGGGTTACTTGTCATAGATATATTTTACACTTTAGTTGAAATAGTTGGAACTGTTAATAGCATAGTATTATCAGTCGTAGTGTAAGTTTACCATATTCTAGATGCATATTTGGCTTTTCATTGTCCTATATGTCTTGCTTTACTACTGTTTTGCTTAATCAATAAAGAGTGTTTAGAAAACTAGGTTTTTCACATCTTTGTTCTCTGCATTGTAAGGTAACGTAACCCCATTGATAAAAAGGTTTCACCTCACTAAACATAGTTGTCAAGATAGCGATTCATCAATGATCTATGAATAAATCGTTATAGCCTGTGCATATTCTGTTTTCAGTCAACCTCCGAAAATCCAATAAAAATTAATTAAGGTGAAAAAAGAATAGTCAAATGAAGACTCGTCAAGATCAAACTAGGATTACATAACTAGACTGAATGATGTATAATACAGTGCAGTTGAAATGGTGAGGTAGAGGAAAATGTTTTGTTGAAAAAGGGTGTAATAGGACTATAGCTTCCCGAGTTCGAAGACTTCTTTCTAGAGCCTACACAAAATTCTTATGCAGTTCAGTTGCTCAAATCTAAGAAATGAATTGATTATATTCACCAACCTTATCGAAACTTCTACACGCCTTGTCAAAGTTGAGATTTTTTCATCCATTAATTAGTACGCTATAGAGAAGAGACAGCACAGTTTATTCGGATGAATTTAACGCTGAATGCTAAGTAGAAACCAAAAATATTTTGGAAGCATGGAATTATTTGACTGTTTTCTAATATAGCAAAAATATTCATTAAGACATCTATAAAACAAAATAATCGAGTAAAGAATATTCTTTTCGATAAATTCCTCTTCTGGCTCTACAGTTATATATATGTTTATCTACACAAATATTCAAGATTGGTAGTTAATAACAATATTGTGTTTTTTAAATAATATCGATTCGTAAAGTATGATCAATGGAACTACAGTTCACTAAAAATACTTAAATTATAATAGTAATAAAGATATAATGGCGAATAGAATATCAACTAAAATTAGGAAATTTCCACAAAAATTAAGGATCATTCAAACCTAGATGACCAAGGTAAGGACAGTGTCTGAACTAACTTCTTTTGGACGCACAAATTAGGCTTTTTAATGTGGATCCCAACAGCCTCAGCAATATTAGTAATCGAACTCTTAAGGCGGAGTTGAGATTTGTTGGTATCAGGTAAATAACTCTAAAAGCCTGGTTAACATCAATCTTATGTTCTGTATCCACAAGATGAGCCAGAATAGATTTTGTTTGGCCTTTGCTTAACCACGCAGGGTGATGTTGTGCGGCCTGTGTAACTGGCTCCACAGGACAGTTAAATTGGTAGATACACATGGATGAGGTGAAATTAGGTAGTTTGTCTTTTACTCCCGAACGCAGAAGAGGAATGGTCTTAAAGATACAACGTAATTCAGCAGCAGGAATACTCGTTTTACCGCATTTCTAATGCGCTGTGTTATTATCTCGCTAGTGTTGTCCCCAAGGAACTGCATCTGAAAAATAAGCCTTTTTTGGAACTGTTGGTAACTTCGGCTGCTTTGGTTTCAAATTCATATTCTTATCAATGAACTTTTCAGGATAACCATTCTCACTTAGCAACCGTTTAATATTATTCAATTCTTCATCAAGACATTCGTCCGAGCACCAAGACTATATGGCTCGCCTAAAGTGCACAAAGATAGTGTACCGCTTCGACCAGTGTTAGATATGTTAAATTCGCCATAACATCCTGTAGCCAAATGGCTAGTCGAAATCTTACAGCCGCTTCATACTGAGTTAGTGAAACACAGTGTAAAGGATACTTTCGGATTTGTGGAAAGGATAAAAGATTTAAATGTTGACAATAAATTCATGATATCATTTGACGTATCTTCCTTATTCACCAATGTACTACTTATAGAAACAGTGGATTTTGTATGCGAAGAACTCAAAAGACGAAACTTCGATGTTGGCATTCCTTTTGTGCAACGGGTCATAATAATTATTTAATTGAATTTAAGATTTTCCCGTCGGCTGTTTGAACCGAAGTGCTCGTCTCAGGTTGACATGTCGGCTTCTTGTGCAGTGGGAACATCGGTAGGAAGACCATCACTCACTGGGGAATGCAGGTACATCCAGCACATCTGCACAAGAAGCCGCCGACATGTCAACCTGAAACCGAACACTTCGGTCCAATCAATCGACGGGAAAATCTAAACTTCAATTAAATACTTGAAATTTGTTTGTTAAATATTTTTATTAATTCATTCAGTCTTCACCTTATGCTGTATATTAGATAGTTTATTATTTTTATTGTCTTCAGAAATAAAACTACACAGAGAGAAAGAGCATTTCCTACATACCGTACCTCATAATTTAATAGTAAATTGAGAACTTTGTAAAAGCAAACAAGTTAACAATAAAATGAACAGATAAACTGTAATTCCCCCCAAAATGACCTTTTTGTGCGAAACTTAACTTTTTTGTGTGAGAGGCGGTGTAAATCTCTCTACTTCGCTGTATCCTGTTCTCGCCGCATTGATCGGTTGTGAGGTGATTCTCCTTACTTGTACAGTTCATATTACAATTAATTCATCTAAGTGACAGCATTATGATAAATCAGAGAGTTGACTTTTAGTTCGCACGGAATTAAAATCGATCATCAGTAAAGAGTAACCACCGAAGCTGGCTGGATTAAATCGATGTTTTCTGTGACACTTCTATTTTTCTTTCCTTGCACGTTTCATTGTTTTCGTACTTTAATCATACTGAACAGCCCTTCATGTATCAAATAAATGTTTGATAAGGATTAATGGGCGACTGAGTTATCTGAGCCTAGTTTTTTTTTGAAAAGTGAGAATTTTGTAGTTTTAAGCGTCGTTGGCACAGTGGTTAGGACTCTCGCCGACCATGCACATGGTCGGGGTTCGATCCCTGCCGACGCACACCTGATATCTATGGTCGGCCTACAAATTTTGGGCTACCGATATCCATGCTGAAAATTCCATACTTGTACCAAAAATACGGTGTGGAATCAAGCTATAATCAAAAATAAAAAAAACTTATTTGTGACTGTGATAATAATACTGGATTTCAGTCCGCTTCTACTTTTACTTCAGTAAATATCTGACCACTTGAATACTGTTCACATATTGTGGGAGACAAAATGACTGACTAAGGAGGCGAAGATTTATTGCTACATGGTGGATACGTCAGTTTAACTAAAAAGCTACAGTTAATTATATGATCAATAAATTACTGGTTTAACGAAAAAATATGTATCCTGACTGGATAGCATGCACCAATGAAAATCTAGTGACGTGTAGTGCCTTCATGAACGTTAGCGTTAAATATCTATTTTCCACACCATGTAAACAGGATCTTATAACGTGTCTCTCCCTATCCAGACAGTAATAATTATAGAAACATACAGAGGATGACTTCTTAAAATAATCTTCATACGTAAGTATAAAGAATGCTGGATTCGAAGATAGTTGACTAGACTAAAGTCGATTCTGTGTAGTTTATTTTAATGATTTGTACGCCATTTATCTTTCATTTTCATACACATATCTAACAATCCTACTGAATCATTTCTCTAGGTCATTTGGATTACAGTATTAGTATACTGAATCTAAGCGAATTTGGCATGACAGCTGATCGCCTTGATCATTTACTGGCACATGCACCACTTCAGACTATCATTTTATTGGAAGACATAGATGCTGCTGTACACAGTCGTAGTAAATCGAATGATAATTTACTTCAAAGCAAAGGTTAGTATTGTGCAATTTTTGCTTATATTAACATTATATGTAGCTTATGAAGGTATGCCGACATTAACTTTGAGTGGATTATTAAACGCATTGGATGGTGTAACTTCAACAGATGGTCGTATTATATTTATGACGACAAATTACATAGAAAAGTGAGTATTTTGAATTTTCTTGTACGACTCTTTTTTCTTCTTTTTCTTGGCGACACTCTCTTTACAGCCATAGGTAAATGCCATGCGGTTTCTTCTTCAACAAAACAAGTTCACGGTGAAGTTGTAAATATTCATTCAGAATTGATTAGTCATCAACAAAAGGTTATAAATAACCAAAGTAATATATTCATTGACCTAGGTCACAGTAAATGTCCAAAAATCACTAGTAAGTAGTTAATAAATGCGTTACATTTGTTAATTTAGTAGAGTGCTTGGTTTGAAAAAAGGGTAGAATGTTTTGTACAGTAATAACAACTTTAGTAAGTGATCGATAGAAATGTGACGCCGTACGTGATGTAACAACAGAAGACAAGATCCAGGCAACAGATCGCATATTAAGGAAATCAACACGTATTTATAGATTTCATTATAGATTATTGTTAGCAGAAAAACAGTCTTCTGATTGGTTGTTTCTCACTGAAAGGTAACCTTGCATCTCTGTGTGGCCGTTTCTTGAATGTCAGATCATCTATATGCTAACTGTATCCGCCTACTCAAAGCCTTTCTTCTCATTTTTCTCACGACCAGTATTGGGGACATAAACATTGACGTAAATTACTGTCCACCAATTTTGACTAACAGCCAGCTCTCACCACAGTGATACCTATTCCTGCAGACGTCCAATTTAAGCTTACTTTTATCATCCGACAGTGAATTTTATGACTGACTACTGAATGTTTATTACTATACGCCTTTCTTCTTTATGGGTTGAAGTTAACCGAACGCCTAGTCCACAGTTGTGAACCAGATGATGCACTAAATTATTTCCTTTTTTTGTGGTGATTACGGGTAGCATAATACTTGTCAATTAAAAGGAATAAAATACTGTATTCACCAAGCTCCAATGATTATTTCCTGGTACAGTACACATGGAATTTCAGCTGAATTTAGACTACTTAAGCAAAAAGTGTAAAACAGTGCAAGATAAATTAAAATATAGTCATCACACTTGGTCTGTGTTATTATCATGATATTACACTAAAAATATACAAGCTATCGATAAGGTGTTGTGGAAAACATCACAGTCCTTAAGGATTGTAGTAGTGTCTGATCATTTCGATTGAATATTCAAGTGTTGGTTTGTAGGGATTTGGTTGATTGGTTACAGGATTTCATTATGAGCTGACATGGTTAGAAAACCTAGGAGTACTGGACAACTGTTTCGTCCTACTTTGGGACTCTTCGTCAGTACGCACTCACCGGGGTTCGAACCCAGGGCCTTCTGGTTACAAGGCGAGCTCGTAGACCATTGAGCCACTGGGACCTGATCCAATGGCCAGCACATGAATTCTAACTTCTGCCAATTCACGACATAGCGCGAGTATTTGTCCTACACTCAATCTGGAATTTCGTAAGGATGTGTGATTAGTAATCATATTATCAGTATTGTCTATTTCTATTGTAATTTGTTAAAGTATGCTTATATGGTGAGACAGAATCATACTCATCAACTATTTTTTTTTGGTTTTGTCAACAGACTTGATCCAGCTTTGATACGACCTGGTCGCGTCGATATGCGTGTACGAGTGGATATGTGTGATCGATCTCAATTATTGAAAATGTTTAGCCGTTTTTATCCGAATTGGACGTCATCTGATATTCATGAGTTAGCTGAACAATTTGCTAATTTACTAGAAGGTGTATCGTTAAGTTCAGCACAAGTTCAAGGTTATCTATTACTGCATAAAGATGAACCATTAAAGGCTATTAACAATATACAGCAACTAATTTCTCCAAATGATTCATGAATTTCTTCTTAAATTGACTGAGAATAGTTCAGGACTTTGACGGAGAAGATTAGCTATTTTTTTCTTTCTTAGAACTTAGGCACATTTTGTATTAATAATCATGTGTATATAATCTTGACTATGTATCTTTAATGAAATAGACAGTTTAAAACCACAGTGCTTCTTGATGTCCTAGTTTAGTAATTCCTAATCACAGAGTTGTTGAAACAAGTATTTGTTCTTAGGATCTTATTCAGATATAATAGCAGTACCATCACTTAGTTAGGAGAACAGAATAAACTGACCATAAAGTTGTATCGTTAACTGCAAAATAATTAAATATTCCTCAGTTACGCAAATGCATTACACATATGCGGTCGATAAAGAAATCGTATCAGTTAAAGGAATAAAATCCCACATTATTTCAGGTGAAAACTTGTTCGTATAGCAGAATTACCTCACAATGAGTGCATCGATAGAGGTTGCTGTTCAGTGTCTACGATACGGTATCATTAATTATGGTGGAGATAACGCCGTTGAACATTTAAGACTCTAGTGTCTTCACATCGAATAACTTTAAATAAACATGCATATTAAGATTTCTGAACCTAATATTGGAAATGGAGACTCTGTCAGGTAATAACACTGGAAAATATTTGCATAACGTACGGTTACCTAATAGACTAAAGAAATGCGTAAATCATACGTAGGAATACCATTCCTGGAAATGTCTCTTCATTTACCATTAGAAAACATGCACCGATCTGCCATCTACTAGCCCTTAGAAGGTAAGTAAAAAGTTCCTCAGGGATGGCATGATTCTATATTTCCATCACATTTTGTAATAAAGTATACCTTCTAGAAAAGGGTCCGAAAGAGGGATACCAAGGAAACTTTTTCTGATAATCCTGACGCCCTTAAAGTGAATTTTTCAGATTCACCTTGTTGGCCGGGTGAGGTTAAGTAAATGACCACACTCGAGTCTTGTATGCGTGTCTCCGAAATACAACATACATCTATGGCTCGAGATTCCAGAGTTCTGGCTAGTGATGCCTGTTATCCGATTTGGCAGAAGGTCCTAACGTTGAATGCTCCTATATGAAGCTGGCGACGTGGCTTTAAAAGGCTGTCGGGAGTGTTCCCATGACTGTCATCGGTGTCTGTGGTCACAGAGTGAAGTGAAGATGACTCACTAGTCTGAAGAATAGTACTGGCTGTAGTAGGGGGGGAGATGATGAAGGCGATGTGAGTAAAGGAGAATGATGCTCGGGAAGGCTTCGTGTGCTTTCCAAAGTGTGTGGGCGGTTGTTACTTCCCGGCTTCCCACACCGTGGAAGTTGGCTGATTCTTGGAGTACCTGAAACATAAAGAGGGTTAGCGTTACGCGACGGCAGAGCGCGTGGAACAACTGCTTGAGGTCCGTCACGCACGGCCTGTACGAACTGGTTTCTTCGATTGGTACTGTATTAGTAAACTTACCGCCGGTTACGGACCACAGTAGGGTAAGTGGAGATGCATAATTTTTGGGGTCGATCTTTTCTAACCCACACTCTCTAGAGTAGAGAGACAGCATAGCTAGCATACTGGTCATCTGAGGGAAACATCTCACTGCTGTTACATTCCTCTTCCCCAGCAGTGCAACTACGTCAAGGTAGCAGCTCTCGGTCGGGAGTTAAACATATATTGTAACGACAAGAGCCAGCCAGCAGATCGTTTATTAAGAAAATCAACATGTATTTATATATATTTCATGTACATTATAGCATTATAGCTTATTCAAGCAGAGAAACACAGTCTACTGATTGGTTGTTTCTTACAGAAAGTTGATTTTGCATCTCTCTGTGACTGTTTTTTGAATGTCTATACGCCAAGTCTTCTGTGATTGGTTGTTGAATCAGTCTTGTTCATATTTTCTCACCACCAATATTTGCGACATACCCATTAACGTAAAATGCTGTCTACCATTTTTGGCTAGCCTGCTCTCAGCACAATATTACGTGCAGGATCCAGATCTTCTAAAGTCTCCATATCTGTGGTCCAGCGTATTCCTGTTTTCTGCCTCCCCACAGCCTGACGCATAATCCAGTCCGCCACAATTAAAAATATCATCGGTAATAGCAATGAGCAGCCTTATCCCACTTCGAACGCCCCACTGAGTGTTTCGCTGTGGGTCACCTGACACGTGGCATTATCATATAACCAGCTGTTGAATGAGGTTGATGAAGACTTGAGGCACGCGGTAGTGTTGAAGTAGTTTACAAATTACTTCTCGGTCCACGCCCTTTCGAAGTTGATGACTGAAGTAGAGGTTTGACTATCATTGTATGCTTTGTTCGATGACTATGCGTACAGTTTCAATTGATCAGCACATGATTTACCTTTTCTGAATCCAGCATGTTCCAGTAGGACAGAGTTCTGTATCCCGTGCATCCTTTATTCTCTCCAGAATGATGCGACTTAGTATTTTACTTGGCATGGACAAGAGCATAATTCTACACTAGTTCTTGCACAGTGAGGTCTAAGTCGCCTTTCTTTGGCAGCTTGACGAGGTAGCTTTTCATCGAATCAGTAGGCAACTTTCATTCTTCCCAAACCTTTTGAAATAATGGTGTGAACACATCTAACACAGTCTCTGGGCCTGTTACTCGTCGTTGTCTTTTCGTAGTCTCTGCTTACGTCCCAACCGACTGCAGTTCAGATGAACTAAAGGATGATTTCTACCTGGAAATGTCTAATTTGCTGCAAAAAGCGAAACGTTCAGGAATAGTTGTCATAGCAGGCAAATTCAATGGCTCCGATTATGATGAGGAGCGAAAGCTATTCAAACGAACGAGAAGCTTCTGTGACGACCGTGAAGAGTGGTGGGCGACAGAAGCAAAGAACATGGAAAAGGCTTCGGCAATAGATAACACCAGAGAACTATTTAGAGCTATCAGGGAAACATGTGGTAAAAGGCAAACGATAAATGAAATAATCCTTGAGAAAAATGGCACCATAATTAGCTCCCAGGATAGATGTCTGGAATGCTGAAAAGAACACTTTGAGGAGCAGTTTAATTGGCCTACAGCCATGCTCAACCTACCTAACACCCAACACCTCACTGAATGGAATATAGACAGGTCCTCCGTCCTCATCCCTAGCTGGAGTCACTAGTCTGAAACGAGGCGAAGCAGCAGAACCCTGATGGAATGACTTCAGAGGTATTTAAGTACGATGGAGAAAGTTTACTGTCTGCGTTAACTTAAGCGCTAGGAACAGTCTGGGAATCAGAGGAAGTCCCGTCGGATTGGTAGAAGTCACTGATTATCCCCATATACAAGAAGGGATACAAGTCTTCCTGTGATAATCACGGGGGAATTAGTTTGACCAGTATGATATCTGAAGTTCTAGGCTCAATAATCATGAGTAGACTAAGCGGTGCTCGGGAGGAACAAACACAAGGGAAGCTGGCAAGCTTTAGACCAGGAAGAGGGTGTATTGATCATGTCTTCACCGTTAGACAGATTCTGGAACATACACATACTTATCGGCGTCCAGCAATCGTTAGATTTCTTGACCTAAAGGTGGCATTCGATTCTGTCGACCGAGGGGTACTCAAGCGATGCTTGACTGTGAAAGGAACGCCAAAAATATACATTGCAATGATAAAAGGCACTCTACTCGAATTATGCAGCCAAGTGGGAGCCTACGTCGAGTTGTCATGTGAAGTGGTGACCGCCAGTGGTGTCCGTGAGGGATGCCTACTGTCCCAATTTCTGTTTAATTTCACCATAGATATACTTATGAACTCAACCCTTACTGACTTAAGTAACTCAATGATTGACTTGTTATCAGAGAATAATCTCGTTGACTTAGGATATGCTTCTTCTTCTAGACGAAGACGCTGACGAAATAGAGAAGAGTCTCGCGAACACCATGAAGAACAGCAATCTTCGAACACTTGCCATGCGATTCGCCCCAGACAAATATGAGATGCTACAGGAATGGACTACATTGACTCCGGGCTTAAAGATAGGCAGGAGTGACGTGGTGGAGAGTGTTGTTGGCCACTTCACTTATTTGGAAAGTTGCATTGCTAACGAAGTCGCTGCACGGATACAGAAGGCTCGTTTCGCATATGCCAGTTTTCGCCACTTCCGGTGTAGACATGATACCCGGCTATCGACCAAAGGATGTGTATACTGCTTGGAAGTCTGCTCCATCCTCCTTTAGGGTTATGAGCCCTGGCTGTTGAAAATAGAAGACATGAAAAGACTATCTGTCTTTGATCATAGGTGTCTGCGTTCTATCTCCTGTGTGAAGTGGCATAGTAGGGAAAGCAATACTGAGGTTAGGCGTTGAGTGCTAGGTAAGCAGAGAAAATCAATCGATGAGGCTGTGAAGCTACATCGACTGAGATGGTTATGACATGTGTTATGTATGCCTATTCATCGCCTTCCTCGACGGGCAATGTTAGCTGACTGACATAAGATCAGGTCGGAAAACAATTAGCTAGTGGTGGTCAAACCAAAACATGGCTTCGTCGATCAATGAAACCCACGTAGGAAGGGGTAGACTTCCTGTTTGGGGTCCTCGGGACGGTAAAAACCAATAACCCGAGCGAATCGGTGATATGACTCAACATCGTTCTCAATGACTGGCGCAGATGCATTCACTCCTTGTGACTTATAATTCCCAATGAAGCTATATTGTTCTTCGCTATTAATATTCCCTTTGTCTCATATCCGTGTCTACTGTCTCTATTTTGTATTTCATCTACTTTCTTCTCTTGCTTTGTGTGCTGAGTGAAGTGCAGCGACTTCAACTGCTGCGCATCGGTGCAAAGTTCTATGTTGAAAGCAGACAGGCGGATATTTCTAACATCACACAAACTCCAAGACTTACAAGCGAAAACCGTCAAACTGGCTGAAGAGGCTGGCAGCGGAGACAGGACTGCAAGTGAACATAGACAAGACGGAGGTGATGTAGATAACCAACGAACTGCAATAACAACTACAAGCAGCATCAATCACCATCAACGGGAGACACTTAACAGAGGTTACCCTCACACATCTAGGAAGAATCGTCTCAATTACAGGAGGAACGGATGAAGAAGTCAAAGCCAACATGGATTGGAAAGTCAAGATACGTCTTCATCAACCTGAAACCAGTTTGGAAATCTTCTACACTCAGCATAAGGACTTTCAACACCAATGTCAAGTCCATCCTTCTATACGGGTCAGAAACTTGGACTGCGTGTCACGAAAGGGATTTCCAACAGGTTGAAAACTTTCAACAACAGTTGCCTTCGCTAGCTGCATACTGAAGATCAAATGACTGGCCAGGAAGAACTAGTAACAAGACACTTTGGCTGGGAACGAATCAACCAAGAGCCGACTGCTCAAAAAATATGTAGGAGAAAATGGAGATGGATCGGGCATGCGTTGAGGAGGCCGTCGGATTTTTTTTTTGATTACAGCTTGATTCCACACCGTATTTTTGGTACAAGTATGGAATTTTCAGCGTGGATATCGGTAGCCCAAATTTCGCAGGCCGACTATAGATATCAGGTGTGCGTCGGCGAGGGCTCGAACCCCGGACCATGTGCATGGTCGGCGAGAGTCCTAACCACTGTGCCACCGACGCACGCACCAGGCCCTTGATAGGAATCCAAATGGAAAGCGACCAATTGGTCATCCTAGGGTGACATGGAGGAGACCTTGTGAGGAAGAGAAGAGAGACTTTGGGTAATCGTAGATCTATTTTAAGAGGTTGGCCGGAAATAAAACAAATTGGAGATATGTTGTTAAAACCCAAGGGCACAATAATAATGGTAATATATACATATAACGTCGAATGTCTGATTTACAAATAACTTAGGGAAACACGACTCATAATATTTCACCTCCTGGTCAAAAACATGTGATAAAACACAAAACTTGAATAAAAAAGAAAGACATATTATTTATAAGTTGTGTACATTTCTATAATATCACCATTTTAGTTACGTTGTGTTTCTGAGTACTTCGTTTCAAAATCCCATTCAACTTCAGGCGTCTCCTCTATTACTACATAACACTGTATGATATCGCCAACTTTCCAGTCAAAGATAAAATTTTTTGATGTATCACGGTTGTTATCAGCCTGAATTTCAGGCGATACCAATACAATACCACATTCCACACCTCTTCGGATACTCTCAACAACTGCTTTTTCATGACGTAATGAATAACAGTCAGCTCGACTGACTATAATATCACTGGAAGTAGAAAAGTCAACTTCATTTTTCTGATTGGAATCTTTTTTCAGCATATTTGAAGGCTTATTCATTTGTGAAGTAGATTGTGAACGGTGATTTGGACGGATAACACGATAGCCTAGTGTAATTGGTTCATTGGTGATGCCTAAATTGTAAATAAAACAACAACAACAAAAGATAGTAAATGTTCAATATACATAGTTTCCTGTTTTCATACATTTAATCTTGAATTTAACAAAACTGAAAGAAGAAAGAAGCTATAGCAACTTTGGATTCATATATTTTACCTTGCAACCTTATGGTTGTTTATAAGATATCCACATATGACAAAAGCTGACCCTATGAAGTAAGCTAAGTGCTTTTTTATCAGTGTGTAATCATGACACACTCACCGGATACATAATAATATAAATTTTACTGACTTAAATATTACTCATTGAGCTATATGACTATGACATGAAGTAGGCAAACAATAGTGGTTTTAAGGTAACCTTATTGCTCTGTCATTGATGAAAATTTGACTGGCTGACTGGTTTGAACGTAGAACTTTGCACAGATGTGCAGCAGTTTGAGTTGCCACTCTCCCTCCATGTGGTACACAAGGCAAGAGAAGAAAGATAGTAAACAGAAATATGAGGCAAAAAGAGTAGTAATTTGGAAAAACAATAGAATTTTACTGGATATTATAGATTACAAAGAGTGAATGCATCTGCGCTTTTGAGGACGATTTGAGCCATATCACCAATTGTCTACAGTCATTGGCTTTTATCATCTCGAGGACCCCAACCAGGAATTCTACACCTCCCTAAGTGGCTGACTTAAACTAACTTGTGAATTTCACTGACTGATGAAGCCGTGTTTTGGTTTGACCACCACTAGTTAACTGTTTTCCAACTTGATCCTATGTCAGTTAGCTAACACTGCCCGCCGAGGAAGTTTAAACTTAAACTTTATCACAACAAGAGTCAAAGAACAATCCTATTGAAAAGTAATCTGTACGAATATAATTTCTAAGGTACTCATTAAAATATCGCAACGGAATAATGTCGCATTAACGATCATTCTGCTATTGTGCATAACGAAGAAACTTTCCGCACGCTTCATATGTACTGAAGCGTAAGGCTATTCTGCTATAGGAGCAGAGTTTCGATAAAATCTTTATTCATGTGTAGAAATAAGTAATATTCAGTGTATTACTTTGATAAGGATTAAATTAATAAAATGTAGCCAGATATCAATAAAAGAAAAATTGGGATTATAATTAGGAAACAACCTTACTTACCTAAATCCATAAGGAAAGGTCCAACTTTACTGATATTAGCTACAATATTTCCTTTGATACACCTGCATCCAGCAACTGGTAAGCGTTCAGATTTCACTGTACTTTTAGCCTCTTTAATAGTAAACAATTGTAAAATTTCTGCTTCACCTACATTAAACACAAAAGTATACAGAATTGGTTATAATTAGTTCAGAATTAAAATATGTAACATTGTGATGGAAGCATAGCTACCATAAATGATTTACTGTTGAAACTATTTCTTAACAGATTCACTATAAAAAAAAACAACAGTTTATAGACCATTTCGATGATAATATCTATTAAACATTAAGGTTGCAGATACGCCTTGCTGACGAGTGCCAACTAGCACGAAACCTAAGTTGCCTCCAACCATCTAATATCATCACGATTAATTTCTGTTGGAAAGTTGATATGCTACCGAAAGATTCAGTATCTGTTTCAATGGAGACATAGACTAAGCATCCTTAATTCTGAATCTTTACTTAAAAGCAACAAGTAATCTCAATATATGAAAATGTGATAAAGTAGGTCAACCACATACGATATATGATGCAGTCACTTGTCATAACGAAGTATTAGTGGGTTCGTCAAGAATGTGCCTCCAGAACATAACACTATATACAACAGATCACCTAAAAATATCATCCATACAAAAGTCAAACAGGAGAAAACGACAAACAAGCAACGACTACGTTTACTAAACAAAATACATGGTATATCATTTTGATATGGTTGTGTTCTCTGAACTGGATAGTTAATTTTTGCGAAGCTTTCGTCGCCCCACTAGGCAACATCTTCAGCGCATACTTCAATTTGCGTGCTATTTCTGATTGAAAATTATGAATGTTTTCATGGCATACATTATTTGATGTTTCACATATTGATAAAGATGCCAAATTAGCTCGAAAAGGTGGAAACTGACTGCATCCATCTACCACTTCTGCAGCTATAAATGAGTAAGTATTTGCAGTGACTTATTTACAATATACTTCAAAATGTAGAAGGAAAAGTGACAAGGCAACATCTTCAGCCCATACTTCAATCTGAAGTCACATTGAAGTATGCGCTGAAGATGTTGCCTAGTAAGGCAATGAAAGCTTCGCAAATTAACTATCCAGCTCAGACAACTCAACCATATCAAAATCATCCACCTGAGCAACAAATCTTCTTCAACATAGTATATCACATTTAAAAAGCCTCAGGAATTAAAGCTATAAATAAACGAATCAAAAACTGTCCAGTCTGGTTATCCTGTTAGCTCATGCATAAGTCATGACTTTACGGAAAACATAGAAGCTTGTCCGTCTTAACATTACTTATTGCCAAAAGTACGACACAGTGAATTTATAAACCGGTCCCGCTTGCTTGACTGAACTATACATGCTCAAAACTCACGGTTAAAGTTATTAAGGAAGCCTTGGAGGTAACCCCGAGAATCGATGAATGTAGTGTATATGTAAACTAGATTAGATATAAAAATGCTGTTCATTTTTCAAGATGCTTTCTGTTATCTGATATCCTTGGTAGGTTAAAGGTCTTAAAACTTCAATTTTAATGCGATAAGATGTAGTTTCCTTCACCTAAACTTAGTTATTTATAAATGTACGAATTTTAGCACATGTGAATCATGTTATATTTCATAGACCCTTCGGAAAATGACAAAACTTCATACATCCCTTTTTACAGTGCAGAGGTCTAATTAGTTCTGCAAGATTTTGAGTATCGATTTTTGAACATCTGGACGATTTGTGCCATTATTCACTTTTTTTAAAAAAAAAAGATTTAGCTTGGTCTAAAATACAAATCTCTGTATAGTTGATGAGTTTATGAATATAACTATTACATAGATATTGTGCAGTAAATAAATTAACTAACCAATTATTTTCTCTGTTGATATTGATGGAAGTCGTTTATTAACTAATTCACGAACTTCTTCTGCCAACCGATAAATAATATTGAATTCTTTAATTTCTATATTTTTTTGTTGAGCTTTACTCGTTGCTTCCGGCAGAGCATGAATGTTGAATAGTAGGACAGTTGCTGAAAGTAGAAAGTAACTAATCATTACACTTGAAGCTATGACCCGCATAGTTTAGTTAGACTTGATAAAACCAATAACTAGTACATATTCGATGTTCATTATAATTCTAGAATCCAAAATAATACAGATAAAAAAGTCTCTATTATGTTTAAACGAATTAAGTCTTCCTTCATGGTGCTGCTTATAACATGAAATATGTCATGTTATTAGATGATTCATTGCCTTTTGCATCTTATGTGATTACCAGAATGGCTCTGTCCACTGTTCAGTGTTTGCACAATTTAGTAAACACCTAATTCGAAGACATTAGATGGTTGGAGGCGATCGGACACAGGAAGCCTTGGACCTAGGTTTCGTGCTAGTTGGCATTCACCAGTCAGCAAGGCGTATCTGCAACCTTGAAGGAACTCATGACCCTTCTGAAATTCGAATCTGCGTCACCCAGTGCTGCAGTCAGAGACGTTATCAGTGCCGATTATTATTATTATTGTATCCTTTAGTTCCTAGAGGAACATAGGGCTTCAGCTGTGCACCTCCATTGCCTTCTTTTTCTGCCAACTTTTTCACCCCGCTCCAAGTCTGCCCACATGCTTTCATCTCCTCTTCACATGACCTCCTCCAAGTCACCCTTGTAACGACAACCAACTCGCCGCCTTCCTTTCGGGTTCCACTCGAGGGCTTGTCTAGTGATGTCACTTGATGGCTCGTTTCGTCAGAGTATGGCCAATCCATCTCCATTTCTTCCTGCCTATTTGTTTCACAATCGGTTCCTGCTGGGTTGGTTCGCTCATGCCAGAGATCCCTGTTGCTGATCTTTTCTGGCCGACCATCTGATCTTGAGTATTGAGCGAAGACAACTGTTAATGAAGGTCTGAAGTTTGTTTGAGATGCTCTTTATGACGCGCTGGCCAAGTCTCTGATCCGTATAGTAGTAGTGACTGACTTCACATTGGAGTTGAAAATTCGGATCTTATTTTTGATGCTGAGTGCTGTTGACCTCCACACAGATTTGAGAGTAATGAAAGCTTGTCTTGCTTTTCCGATTCTGGCTTTGATATCCTCGTCAGTTCCGCCTGTAGTTGAAACGACACTTCCCAGGTAGGTGAAGGAGGTTGTTTCTTTCAGGTTCCTCCCATTTATGCTGGCTGATTGTTGTCTGTTGTTGCTGTTGATGTTGGCCAGGAATCTTCATCACCTCTGTTTTATCTATGTTCACTTGAAGTCCTATCTTCTCTGGATGCTTCTTCTGCCAACTTGTTGCTTTTCACTTGCATATCTTCCAGTTTGTGGGAAATCAGACACCATCGGTGAAGTCCAGATTCTCCAAGTCTTTTGTGTCAGTCCATTTTATGCCTGTTCTCTCTTCGCTGCCCACTGTCTGTCTCATTATCCAGGTTAATGCAGTCAGGAAAATCATTGAGGATAGTAGACAGCCTTGTCTTACTCCCGTCAATACTTCGAAGGATTCCGTAAGTTTCGCGTTGTGGATTACTTGGCATGCAGCATTGTCATATAACTGTTGGATAAGATGTATAATTGTCGATGGCACCCAGTAGTAGCGAAGTAGTTGTCAAATGACATCTCGATCGACCCTGTCGAAGGCCTTTACAAAGTCGATGAAGTTGCGATAGAGAGGTGACTGCCATTTCAAGCTTGTTCAATGATGATCCGTACGGTGGCGATTTGATCAATACATGATCTGTTTCTGCTGAATCCAGCTTGTTCCGGTCGAAGTTTTTCATCTAGGGCTTGTTTGATTCTCTCCAGGATCATGCGGTTTAGTATTTTGCTTGGAATGGACAGAAGCATAATTCCACGCCAGTTTTTACATTGACTTAAGTCTCCTTTCTTTGGTAGTTTGAATAAGTATCCGTTCTTCCAATCCTCGGGTACTTTGCCCTCTTTCCACACCTTCTCCAGCAGTGGCGTCATCAAGTCCGCTATTGTCTCTGGGTCTATTTTCAAAGCTTCTGCTGGGATTCCATCTGGTCCTGTGCCGATTGCCTCCAACCATCTAATATCATCAAATCAATGTGCACCGTGATGGCGAGCTACCTAGAATAGTGGCCACATTGCAAACTTGACTGAGAGAATTCAGTCTGCATCAAAGAAAAGACTAGACAAATCACACTAGTTACTAGTGTCCAATCAAAGTAAACACCTAATTCGAAACTGCGCTTTAGCCTAATTAGGCATATTACACTGTACTGCATTCTGCTTAGTTCAGGAGAATAATACTTAAAATCAATAAGTTTAGTAAATATTAAGAGTTGCATTTCTAAACAAACCAACGTCAGTTGACAGACACACTGAAAACTCATGAGCACAGAATATCTCTTTCACCCTAGTTTGTGTCTCCTCAATAGCACAAACCAAGGTGACCGAATGCAGAACCACCTAGTTACTACAAGTCAAGAACAGGTTGAGTTAATCAACTTGGTTTTACTTTCTACTGCCGCAAAATATGAAATCTAGCTAATCTCAAACTCAGTTATCGACATTACAGCGAGTATAGACGACAAATGGATACACTTATAAGATGTTGAATAAAAAGGTTTGGGCTTGAAAAAATTACACACTGGATTCCCAAAAATCTCTTCCAACTTCTTGACTCAGTAATATCTTGTTCATATACAAAAATAGTGCAATATATTACAATATTGCATTATATTACAACTTTGGATGTTATCCCCTACATCCACCGAGAATTCATTTAAGAGGTCATCAGTGTTGAGTATTACTCGTTACTACTTCAAAAAACATTCCTTTTAGTTGTTAATAAACCTTCCTTTTCAGTTGCATAACTATAATGTCAAAATAAATTGTAAAGGCATTATGTGTTCCATTTTTACTGCATTTCAAACAACATAATCATTATCCGACTACGAATTCGCGTAATAGTAAGTAATTATAAACTAAAAGCACAAAATGATGTCATTTGGTGGATGGTAACTTGCAGTGGAATCCAGGATGCGTATTTCGTCCTGTTTGTGACTCGTCATCTAGATGTACCTGCATTCCCCATTGAGTGATGGTGTTCCCATTGAGGCTCGGACCCAGTGCTCACAGTTTCAAACGCCAAAGCGTTATCCATTGGACCACTTGGGCCAAGAGAGCCACTTCTTGTGCAACAAGTCTTACTAATTGTTTAATTCCATTTGGATTTTCCGGTCAATTTTGAAAATCAAACAAAAACTTATGAATTCATGACATTCAGTGGGTTGATTAACATTTTGACAATTAAAATTATACAAATACTGGCTAGAGAATATAAGTTCAATGATAAAGATTTGTTTTAAAGCCTTAAACCCTGTAACGATTTCACGTCTGTCAGACAACGACGAATTCAATGACTTCATTATACTCACCGTTAACAGCAGCTGCAGATTCTACTTCAGATTCTGTTAAAGGACCAATACCAGTAAGACAATATTCTATTCGACACTGATCTGATGGACATGTAGAAAGAAGTGTTTTAATAGCTTCTAAACTTCCTTGTACATCACTTTTAATTACTAAAGGCAATGAAATCTGATCATGATTTTTCTCCCAAGGATTAAATTCAATTCGATTATGTTCTTCCTAAATGAATTTATAAAAGAATCAAGAGGTAATATTTACATTTCACTTAAAATAATTTCATACTAGATGAATAAATAACAAATATTAAACTTAAAACAATATTTTTAAATAAAATTAGAACTGTGATTACTGTTGTGTGCATTCAGTAATTTATAGAACGACAGAACTCAGGGTTTTAGCATCCATTGATACCTTTGGGCGAAGTGATGTTTATAGTTACATGTTGTGTAACAATTGTGATTACATGAAGCACATTAGACTGTTTGACGAATTCAGATTTCTTCAAATTACATTAAAAAAGGTGTTCGACAGATTAAGGGTTGTTCACTTGGAAAACCAAATCCGTCTACAAAAAGTATTGTGGAGTGTGCTACTGACAACATTTGGCAGTAGTACATAGAGAAACGGCGTTACATTCGGTATAGATATGAGCATTTTTACTTTATTTGGCGACAAGATAATCTTTTATCAATGAACTTCTTGAGGTTAAACACCTATACTCAGTAATTCAAAACTGAAAGTGAACGCCATGTCGCTAAGTAATTTAGAAGAGAGGATTATGTGTGAACGACTATTTTAATACACTTATTCAAATTAACTTGAATTATAACCACATCCTAAGGACATATCGTTTAGTTTTAGTTGTAATTCAAAAATAACTTTAAGCCACTCACTAAAACAGCAGTTTCAGGAAACTGCTCGTTTCTTGTCTTAGAAATAATCTTACCTCGAAATATGTGTTTACCGTCTAGATGATATTACTTGTCCATGCATTCACCTTTACCATGCCGCCTTCTTTCCTTTCAATCTAAGCACTCCTAAAACTACTAATAAGTAACCACCGCTTTTAAATAAATACATATATTCCTTCACATCCCAGAGGGACATAGGGCTTCAAGCTAGAGGCTTGAAGTTCCTGTAGCAGTGTTTATTTTTACAGGATGGGGTTGCTAGCCTCATGTCCAACCTTTCCTCTTTACCAGCATTATTTCTGGCTTAGCGAAGTAAGGGAGTGCGTCGGCCGGGAATCGAACCCTGGCCCGTGTGCACAGTCGGCGAGCGTCCTAACCGCTGTGCCACCGACGCAATAAATGAAAATACCAAATAGGTGGTGAAGCTACTATCATTGTTTACATGTTAATGGTTATATATATATATATATATATATATATATATATATATATGTCTCTCTATTTTCGACATAGAACTTTGCACAAATGTGCGGAAGTTCAAGTCGCCACACTCCGTGTAGCACGCGAAGCAAGAGAAGAAAGTACAAGAAAAGCATAATAGAAACAGTGAGCAGAGGTGTGAGACAAAGGAGTAATAACGAAGAACAAAACAGTTTCATTGGAGATCATAAGTCACAAGGAGCGGATGAATCTCCGCCAGCCATTGAGAACGATTTTGAGCCATGTCACCAATTGTTTCCAACCATAGATTTTTACTGTCCCGAGGACCCCAGCCTGGAAGTCTACACCTTCCTACGTGGCTTAGACCGACTGTTGTGGATTTCATTGACTGGTGCCAATTTTTTGTTTGACCGCCGCTAGCTTTCTTCCAGCCTGACCCTATATCAGCTAACATTGCTCGTCGAGGGAGGCGATGGCTTGGCATACGTAACACATGTCCTAACCATCTCAGTCTTTGTAACTTCACGACTTCGTCGATTGATTTCCCCTGTTTACCAAGAACTCGACGCCTAACCTCAATGTTGCTCACCTTATTATGCCACTTTACACGGGAAATAGAACGCAGGCACCTATGATCAAACACAGCTAGTCTTTTCATGTCTTCCACTCTCAGTGGCCAGGTCTCACAACCATAAAGGAGGACGGAGCGGACTGATGAGCAGTACACCCGCCCTTTGGTCGATAGTCGAACATCTTGTCTACGCCAGAGTCGGCGTAAACTGGCAAATGCGGAACGAGCCCCCTGTATCCGTGCTGAGATTTCGTCAGAGATCAGCCCGTTGGGGCTGATGGTACTTCCCAAATAAGTGAAGCGGTCAACGTGCTCTACCACTTCACTTCCTATTTTTAAACTAGGCGGCGATGTAGTCCAGTCCTGTAACATCATCTTGCATTTGGCGGGAGCGAATCGCATGCCAAACATTCGTAGATTGCAACTCAAAGTGTTTAGAAAACTCTGCATTTTGCCAGCGTCCTCGCCTAGAAGGATTATATCGTCTGCATATTCCAAGTCAACGAGATTATTCCCCGGTAGTAAGTCAATCCCTGAGTCGCTGAAGTCACTTAGGGTTAAGTCCATCAACACATCTATGATGAAGTTGAATAGAAAAGGGGATAATGGGCATCCTTGACGGAAACCACTAGTCGTCACCAGTTCAGATGATAGCTCGCCGTAAGCCCTGGCTTATATATTATATATATATATATATATATATATATATAAAGAAACGTTCATCTTCATTGAAATATCAAATAGGGGAGAGATAGATTTTACGTTAAACAGAGCAAATGATTTCAGCGTAGCGGAAAAACATGGGAGACAAGAAAAGGAGACAAAAAAAGCACAACACGAAGGGTAGAAGTAGCACAACACGGAATATCTGTGCAAATGGTGATTTGGAGATAAGGTGTACATGATTTCGCTACATAGCGATACCAAATGTGTCTTGTCTTCTACCATTACAGTATTATTTCATTTGTTTGAAATCAGGAGTAGTTGTCCTTTAGTCCTATTGAAAAATTAGGATAGTAGCATAGTGAGAACTCCTCACACAAGAAGCAGTCCGTCCCTGTGGTAATTATTTCTGAGGCATATAAAAACAGATACATGTAAATACTATTTTCTCAACCACAACTACACAACTACACTGTCAAAATTTACTAGAATTTACTATGTTAATATACAATGATCTGCACATAAACTCAATTAAAAACCATTTCTTATATATGCATATATGATTTAACATTTCTAAATTAAATACAGGTAAATAGCATAGATGAGTAGAAATCTCAGCTCTGGCAAAACTTATTGTTGTTGTACATGAACAGATGATAAACAACATACCCTTAATTTTTTCCACTGGTTACGAGGAGTACTTAATCGTTTTTGTGTGAATTCATCACGAAATTCTCGATAAGAGCTCATTCGCTGTTCATATTCATTTCTGTCTTCTTTAGCTTTGTTCAGCATTTTAATACGTCTACGATAGTGTTGAACTTCATTTGCTCTTGTCTAAAATGATACAATAAAAACGGGGAATGAAAACCTTAGAAATATTCTAGCAGTTGCTGTACATTAACAGTTATAAAAACAGACAATGCATTGGAAAATTAATTTATAGAACCATCATTATGACATTCAACCTTATTATATGTTTAAACAATTAGCTTCATTTATTTTAATTGAATTTTAGATTTTCCCGTAGATTGATTGGATTGAGTTTTATCTACACCAATGTTACTTGATGAATACCAATCGTTAACGATGATACATAGAGTAAACAACTAAGACATAGGTTAATTGAATTTTAAATTTTCCCGTCGATTGATTGGACCGAAGTGCTCGGTCTCACGTTGACATGTCGCCTTCTTGTACAGATGCTTTGACGATGTCTGGCCATTTAATTAGAATTTAATTGGTGGATGGTGACTAGCAAAGGAATCCAGGATGCGCATTTTGCCTTATTTGCGACTCGTCATCTGGATGTACCTGCATTCCCCAGTGAGTGATGATGTTCACCCACCGAGGCTCCAACCCGAGCACTTCGGTCCAATCAGTCGACGGGAAAATCTAAAATTAAATTAACATGACCCGTTGCACAAGAGGTGGCTCTCGTGGCATAAGTGGTCTAGTGCATAACGCTTTGGCGTTTGAAACTATAAGTCCAGGGTTCGAGCCTCGGTGGGAACATCATCACCCACTAGGAAATGCAGGTGCATCCAAATGATGAGTACCAAATAGCACGAAATGCGCATCATGGATTCCACTGCTAGTCACCATCATCCACTTCGTTGTAGTTCATTTCAAAGTATTATCCATAAAATACCCCTGATTTGAATAACTGCACAGAAAGTCTACTTCAGAAACAAAACAGAACTGAAACATACTATATGAAATTCAACACACTGTTAACAGAATAAGTTGGAACGTTGACCAATGCATTGGTGGTTGTATTAAGAATGTCTTATACAAAGAATACTTACCACTGATTCCAATTCTAATAATAGATCCCCTGGAGATGGTAGGTCTTTCCAGCCTGCAAGCCGTGCTACGAAGCCTGGACTAACTGAATCCACAGATTTGCCTGTATCGTCTAGTAAAATCCGCGGGCTGCAAACTGCTTCGCCAGCAATAAGGGGGCCACTTTTCGGTGACTTACGCAATATACCTCGAGTAACCAAGCAAATAGCAGTTTTACTAGAAATCAATCAAGTGATTAGGAATTAAAACATTTTGGTTACTTCAGAAATATAAAAGTCATCAAACAAAAGTTTTTAAGTTTTGAAAATAACTGGGAATGACGATTGTAAGATACGTTGTAAATGCAAAAGCAGAGTGACGAAGTGAAAACAGATTTCGACATATTACAATAAATGATGAATCCCTACATCTTTGTTACTTATAATCTAATAAATTTTGTAAAGTGGAGCGTGTGCATGTTTGAATTAATGATGAGAAACCGAGTATAGAAGTCAGTATTGATTAAAGTGAGGAAGTCAGAATAAGGCCTCAAACACACAGTACAAAGGTATATCGGTCTGAATTACTACTGTTCAAAACACCACACCAATAAATCACTAGAAAGAAGGAATATAAAAAAAGACCGGACAATTATGAGAACTGATTAGATCACAAACAGAAACGTTCGCAAGATAATCTCTTCGAAAATTCAAAAGTAAATCATATAATAAGATTTTGTCTTTTGATGAAGATTTCTAAGCAGCATATATCTCAGTTGACTCTAACAAATAAATGGTCTGCATACACTGGAGTGTCTTTTCATGACATAACTTACATATATTAACTTTTTAAGTCTGCCTATCTTAACTTAAACGCGCCTATCAAAATGAAAAGTAGACAGTTTGGTAAAATTCGCACTCTAACCAACAAACAATTATGCTTTGATTATTATATTTATATTGTTTTTTACTTATTTATTTAAGTTCCTAGTGGAACATAGGGTTTCAAGCTAGAGGCTTGAAGTTTTGGTAGCTGTGGAGTTTACTTTTACGGAATGGGGTTGCAAGCCTTATGCCCAACCTTCACTCTTCACCAGTCTTATTACTGGCTTAGCGAAGTGGAGGAGTGCGTAGGCCGGGAATCGAACCCCCCCCCCACCGTTTTCACGGTTGGCAAGTGTCCTAACCGCTGTGGCACCGACGCAATCATGCTTTTACTCATTAAATATATCACTGATCGTTAAAGGACTCTGTCTGTCTGGATTCAACATAGAACTTGGCACCGAAGTGCAACAGTTCGAGTTGCCACGTTCCAAATACCACACAAAGGTAGACAAGAAGATGAGTGAAGAGAATCAATAGAGTTTGACAGGTATAAGAGCGAAACAGAATGGGTAATGGTAGAAAGAAATGTGAAAGATTACAGAGACTGAATACATCTGCGCCACTGACAACGATTTTAAGCCAAGTCACCTATTGTCTCCAGCCATTGATTCCTAGAGTCCCGAGGGCCCGGACTCGGAAGTCTGCATCTCCCTACCTGACTCAGTTTAACTGTCTAGGATTTCATGGATTGATGACATGTTTTTGTTTGGCTACCACTTACTCTTTTCCAACCTGCACCTATATCAGCTAGTAATGCCGCTCGGGGGAGGCGATGGTTAGGCATGCGCAGCACGTGACCTAGCCATCTCAATCTATGTAACTTTATAGCCTCGTCGATTGATTTTCCCTCTTTGCCCAACACTCTACGTTAAAGGACTAAATAAATTACGGTCGGTATTGCGAAATGATTCATACTATTCCCTTCCAATATATATATATATATATATATATATCAAATAGGAAAAGTTACGCTTTAAAATAAATGTCAAACAACTACCTTGATACAACGGGATTACAGAGAAATGCGCATCCCAAAGCAATATAATACAGAGGAAATACATAAAGAGAAGGCTTTAAAACTGGGAGGATACAACAAACGGGTTGAACGAAGAAACGCATTCCTTGTTTTGATTAGCTCTTCATAATTTTGAGGGGAGCAACCCAAAAAGTTGCTTCTCTCTAAACTTTTACTTAATGTAATCATTCTTTTCTCAGGCGTGAGGCTAGCAACCCCACCCTGTAAACAAAAATTGCTACAGAACTTCAGTATGCTGAACCTCCTTGCACCAAAAGAAAAAGTCTGTGTAGGAACATGGAACGTCCGAACTATGTACGAGACTGGAAAAGCTGCCCAGATCGCCAACGAGATGAAAAGATACGGAATACAAGTGCTGGGAATATGTGAGAGCAGATGGAATGGGAGTGGACTCACCAAATTGTCAACAGGTGAGTCAGTGATCTACTCCGGTCACCCAGAAGATAACCACACGCACACCGAGGGCGTGGCTATCATGATGTCACCAACGGCAACGAAAGCCCTGATACAATGGGAGGCGATTTCGTCCAGGATAATGACCGCCAGGTTCAACTCCAAAGGAAGGAAAGTGTCAATCATACAATGTTATGCACCCACAAACAACGCAGACCTCGAGAAGAAAGAAGAATTCTACAGGCAACTACAGGCAACAATGGACAATACTCCAGCTGGCGACATGAAAATACTAATGGGAGACATGAACGCCAAACTGGGACCAGACAATACGGGAAGGGAACTCATCATGGGTAGAGAAGCTCTAGGAGAAATGAATGAAAACGGAGAACTCTTCGCCGACTTCTGCGCCTTCAACGAACTGGTGATTGGTGGCAGTGTATACAAGCACAAAGATATCCACAAGGCTACATGGGTGTCACCAGACGGGCAAACCAAAAACCAAATCGACTTCATCTCAATCTCAAGGAAGTGGAGGCGCAGCCTACTGGACACAAAAGCAAGAAGAGGAGCAGACGTTGGCTCAGACCACTATCTCGTACAAGGGACAATCCAAATCAAATTAAAAGCTTTCAGGGAATCAGGAGCTGCAGATAGACCACAAGCCAAGTTCAACACTCAAAAGCTGAAGGACCAGGCTACAAAGGACATCTTCATTGCAAGCATAAAGGACAAAGCCGAGACACAAATCAACACTAGCGAAGAGGTCGGCGTTGAAAAGCACTGGAACAACTTGAAAACGGTGTGGAGCCAAACCTGCATAGAAATTCTAGGCAGAAAAAAGAGACAGGACAAACAGTGGCTCACTACGGACACTTGGAAACTAATAGAAGAGAGAAGGACAGTGAAGCAAAAGATTATCCAGTGCACGGACGAGCAACAAAAACAGGAGCTGAATGCAAGCTACAATACACTGAACAAAAGAGTGAAGAAAAGTGCCAGGGAAGACAAAAGAAAATATTATGAAACCATGGCAAACGAAGCAGAACAAGCTGCAGGCAAAGGAGACCTCGCCACACTCTACCAAACAACTAGGAACCTTTCGGGCAAACGTTCGACACAGATTAAGCCAATAAAGGACGACAATGGAAAGTCAATCACCAAAGAGGTGGAACAGAGAAAGCACTGGGTTGAACACTTCAAAAGACTTCTAAATCGTCCGCCACCTACAACACGTCCAGCAATACCAACAACGGAAGCAGAACTACCAGTGAACACTGACCCCCCGACGAAATCAGAAGTCCTGAATGCAATCAAGATGCTTAAAACTGGGAAAACACCGGGACCAGATGGAATCCCAGCAGAGGCTTTGAAAATAGACCCAGAGACAACAGCGGACTTGATGACACCACTACTGGAGAAGGTGTGGAAAGAGGGCAAAGTACCCGAGGATTGGAAGAACAGTTACTTATTCAAACTTCCAAAGAAAGGAGACTTAAGTCAATGTAAAAACTGGCGTGGAATTATGCTTCTGTCCATTCCAAGCAAGATACTAAGTCGCATCATCCTGGAGAGAATCAAACAAGCCCTAGATGAAAAACTTCGTCCGGAACAGGCTGGATTCAGGAGAAACAAATCATGTATTGATCAAATCGCCACTCTACGGATCATCATTGAACAAAGCTTGGAATGGCAGTCACCTCTCTATCTCAACTTCATCGACTTTGAAAAGGCCTTCGACAGCGTCGATCGAGAGGTCATTTGGAAACTACTTCGCTACTACGGGGTCCCATCGACAATTATACACCTCATCCAACAGTTATACGACAATGCTGCATGCCAAGTAATCCACAACGGGAAACTTACGGAAGCCTTCGAAGTGAGGACGGGAGTGAGGCAAGGCTGTCTACTATCACCAATGATCTTCCTGATTGCAATTGATTGGATAATGCGACAGACAACGGCAACCAACGAGGGAACAGGCATAAAATGGACTGACACAAAAGACTTGGAGGATCTGGATTTCGCCGATGATATATGTCTGATTTCCCATAAACTGGAAGATATGCAAATGAAAAGTAACAAGTTGGCAGAAGAAGCATCAAAGATAGGACTTCACGTGAACATAGATAAAACAGAGATGATGAAGATTCCTTGCCAACATCAACAGCAACAACAGACCACAATAAGCATAAATGGGAAGAACCTGAAAGAAACAACCTCCTTCACCTACCTGGGAAGCATCGTCTCAACTACAGGCGGAACTGACGAGGACATCAAAGCCAGAATCGGAAAAGCAAGACAAGCTTTCATTACTCTCAAATCTGTGTGGAGGTCAACAGCAATCAGCATCAAAAATAAGATCCGGATTTTCAACTCCAATGTGAAGTCAGTGCTACTATACGGATCAGAGACTTGGCGAGTCATAAAGAGCATCTCAAACAAACTTCAAACCTTCATTAACAACTGTCTCCGCTCAATACTCAAGATCAGATGGCCAGAAAAGATCAGCAACAGGGATCTCTGGGAGCGAACCAATCAGGAACCGATTGTGAAACAAATAGGCAGAAAGAAATGGAGATGGATTGGCCATACGCTGAGGAAACCATCAAGTGACATCACTAGACAAGCCCTCGAGTGGAACCCGAAAGGGAGGCGGCGAGTTGGTCGTCCAAGGGTGACTTGGAGGAGGTCATGTGAAGAGGAGATGAAAGCATGTGGGCAGACCTGGAGCAGGGTGAAAAAGTTGTCAGAAAACCGAAGTCAATGGAGGTGCGCAGCTGAAGCCCTATGTTCCTCTAGGAACTAAAGGATACAATAATAATAATAATAATCATCCGTCCTATTTTAATATACACCTTTCAAAACCAACTACTTAATACTGGATTTTGTTCACGTAGGTTGCTTTTTAGATATTGTTAACTTAGATTACATTAGTATCCACTTGACTCTACCAGCTCTTTAAGGAGTAACATGTTATATATTAACTGAGATATGCATAAAGCAAAAGTTTTATTCATTAGATTCACTGACGTAGACGATTTAGAAGTGAATTTTACTCTAACTCGTAAACCATTATGACAACACTAGCCACATATTTGGAAACTACGGATGTCCAGTACATGCGTACACATACACTCATGTAGAGTTGGAAAAAAAAGACTTTGATTACTATTCGATGCAAAATATCCTTCCTGTCTGTTTTCAAAAAAATAATAATAATTTGTTCCTTTTTACGATTTAGTAATACAGAAAAAAGTGAAATTGAATGAAATAAATAACCATAAGTAAAGATAAAATTATGTATACCTACCCAATTCCATGCAGAGTTTCTGATTCTAAAACAACTCCTTCAGCTGGTCCAGTATGATCTGCTTTTAATTGCATTATTTCAGCTTGAAGAATAATAGCTTCCAATAAACCGGAAAGATTTATTCTTTTTAATGCTGATATTGGAACAGCTTGTACGTCTCCTCCTAACTGTTCAGTTAGTACCTCATAGGTGGCTAAACCTTGAACCACTTTATCCTTTCATAAAAAAGGGAGAAAAAGTAAGAATATATATATATATATAGCTTATTAGTACTGAATCTTTGACGATTGATTCAGGTTCAAGTTCAGAACTCAATTACAACACAAAAATTCAGAGAATTAGGAGATTCAGTAGAATTAATTTACCTACATCAGATTGCTTTACGGATGACAACGTCACTTATTCTGATGTTGAAAGGTTTAAGAGCAAAAAGGAAGATATCCAGAGAGTCAAACACTTATTCGAATAATGAATGATTACAGTTTGCTACAATTATACTACTGAGATTCAAGATACAAGGCTTATAAAATGAGCACCACATTTGAAACCAACACAAAAAGCGTTACAGTTTCATTTCTTTACTAGTTTTCTTGAAAAGGACTATGTCACAATTCGTAGAATGTTGAAGACTGTCAGTGGACCACATAATTAACATCGTTGTCGATAGGCACTTGACTTGATGCAATAAATTTGCTAAAGGGATTTTGTCTGACTTGGAGCATCCGCTTTACCCTCAGCTTTCACCTTGCATCTCCTCAGGTAGAACAAGGAGTAACTTCAGAAAACTGTATGCTCGCACGTCTAAGTATAAAAATTCTATGATACCATACTTGGCACGTATTTTATGTGATGAAAATAGTGTCAGGCAAGAATTAACTAACCTTTTTTCATCTAGTAAATAAACAATTTCCTCCATCCATCCTTATATACCTTCAAGTTTTACTTTTATTACTTCTATTATATTTATGGTCCTGTTACTTCTCTGTTTTTTACTCTCAGAATTGCAAACACCAACTTATCTCCGTGACGGCTGTAATCTTTGTTTTTCCCCTCACTATATCATGTAAAGAGAACATTATATTCAATATATATTCAACATGCTAGGATTTCTATACCGCCTCGACAATACTGTGTGAAACAAGCCCACGACAATCTTCACTTGTATTATTATTATAACCCTAGCTGTTATCATTGTTGTTATTATTATTTCCAATTAATAGGCTGCATGTTTTTAGCATTACCCCTATTGTAAATGTGGAAAATTTTCTGTGTGATTAATTTTTACTTATAATTTGAGGAAATTAGATGCAATATTGTGATTAATGCGGAAAATTCCATTCTGTATCACAAGTACTGTTTTTGGAATAAAGTAAATCAATTATTATTATTATTATTAAAATTGGAAAAAACTAGGATTGAAGCTGTAACCAACTTGGAGAATTTTTATCCTCATACAACTCACTGAGCATCGGAAAATCAATATACTTACTAGGTTAGCTTCATGTTTGTCAACTTTATTCACTGCAACGACAATGGGAGCTAAAAAGTTTTTAAAAAAGAAACACAAGGCTTGCATATTAGCCACAGAAATTTACTATATTTTAATTATTAAGTTATTTACTGTCACTTTCTGTTACTAGGTATTGCAGTTTATACTTTCATTTTGTTAGATTTACGTATTTTAATGTTACTGATTGTCAACTGTTTGAATATTTCTACGCCATAGCGAACTTTAGAGATCCACCAAAACGACAATGGATTCTACTTAGATGACCCCAGATCTTTAGCTGATTATTCTTAACACTATACAATACAATAAAACACTGAAGACTTTTACAGCCTATTCTTCTATGCGGACGAGGATATCCATCTTTAAGTTATACGATACAATGAGTGTTAACGATAGGTTACAGAATATGTTGACTAATCTTCATTAAATTATTCTCTCTTTCTAAACATTACAATTCATCGCAATATTATAATCGCATTTCTTTTCTCGCTTTTATATGCTTTTTTGAAATATATCAACTACAATCAGTGTGCCTCTATGTGAACCTCCAATCTGATTAGTCAGTCAATCAATTTGAGTCAGTTATAACGATACGAACTGTTTTTAGTTAACATCAGAAAGATACATAGGCAGATGCAGTTACATTTCTGTACAAAAGTATATTACAAAACTCAAAAATCTGAATTTTATTATATTATTATTGTTCCCTTAGGTTCCGAGTAGAACACATAGGGCTTCAATAGTACATCACTTAGTCCTATTCTCTGTGATCCCCCATAGCTAGTCCCTCAATTGCTCATAGTCTTTCATCTCTACACACGATCTCCTCCATATCACCCTCGGACAGACGTCCAAGTCATCGTCTCCAATCCATGTTCCACTCGGGGGCTTGGAGCGCGATGTCATTCAACGCTCTTCTCATTGTTTGTCCGATCCATCTCCACTTTCTTTTATGTATTCGTTGAGCAGTAGTCTCTTAGTTGGTTCGTCCACTGTTGCTTATCCTTTCTGTTATCTGATCTTCAGTACCGAGGTAGCGAAATTAGTTGTTGATGAAAGCCTGCAATAAGAAGTTGGAAATGCTTTTCGTGACGCGTTCGCTAAGTTTCTGACCCATACAGAAGAAGTGACTTAACACTAGTGTTGAAAATCCAAATTTGGTTCGAATTTCTGCTGAGTACAGAAGATCTCCAAACTAACTTCAGAGTGATGAGAGTCTGTCTTGCCTTTCCGATTCTGGTTTTGCTATCCTCAGTGGTGCCCCCCCCCTACAGCTGAAACAATTCCGCCTAGATAAATGAATTGACTTCTATCAAATTTATTTTGTTGATAGTGATTGGTACGTGTTGTTGCTGGTTGGTTACTTTCATCACCTCCGTCTTCACTGTGTTTACTCGAAGTCCTGTCTTTATTGATTCTTCTGGCAGCTTGTTGGTTTTCGCCTGTAAGCCTTCATGCTTATATGATATTAGTCATTAATCGTCGGTAAAAGACCAAAACATTTATGAAAAGTAATTAAGTCTTTGATCATAGGTGCCTGCGCTCTATTTCCCGTGTGAAGTGGCATAATAAGGTGAGCAACATTGAGGTTAGGCGTAGAGTTCTAGGTAAACAGGGAAATCAATCGTCGAAGTCGTGAAGTTACAAAGACTGAGATGGTTAGGACATGTGTTACGTATGCCAAGCCATCGCCTCCCTCGACGAGGAATGTTAGCGGATAGGGTCAGGCTGGAAAAAAGCTAGCGGCAGTCAAACAAAAACTTGGCACCAGTCAATGAAATCCACAACAGTTGGTCTAAGCCACGTAGAAGGTGTAGACTTCCAGGCTGGGTCCTCGGGACGGTAAAAATCTATGGTTGGAAACAATTGGTGACATGGCTCAAAATCGTTCTCATTGACTAACACAGATGCATCCGCTCCTTGTGACTTATGATCTCCAATGAAACTGTTTTGTTTTTCTTTATTACTCCTTTGTCTCACACATCTGCTCACTGTTTCTATTATGCTTTTCTTGTACTTTCTTCGCTTGCTTCGCGTGCTACACGGAGTGTGGCGACTTGAACTTCCGCACTTTTGTGCAAAGTTCTATGTCGAAAACAGACAGACAGACAGAATTAACAACAGAATGGAAAGGAAATAATCAAAAGGATGAAAATAAGTTTCCATACCTTTGGAAATAATAAATGGCCAATCTGCAGTCATCAATTTCCTAACATTCCAAACACCTCCTCCACCAAACTAAGTGGTGTACACTTTTAGGTATAACTCTTATTAAGGGTCATAGATTGTTAACAAGTCTCAGTTGATTTTATAATATTCAAGCCAATCAATACATTGAATGATTTACATAATTAACTTAACATAGATTAAAATTACTAAAGAAAGCAGAGTTCATGAAATTGTCTTTGGTCTTCACATTTCTAGGCCGAAGTGAAGAAAGAGTTGATTAATAATGAAACCTATAGTGACCTGAGACCCAGAGAATAACGGTTACCTTGTATGTATCATTAGCCGAAAACTCACGAAACAAATATTCCATAAGACCAATAATGTCCATTGTGAATTCGTGTTCCCATACACTAATATGTTGGCTAGAACCAATCTGCGATAAATTGCCTGTAAGGAGACTCAAATATGCTTCTCAATTTGCTTAGAAATTGAGTACTATGAATATTTCTGATAAATTCCTGGTGCTTTTCGACATATCCTTCATATCCATCAAAGTTCCAGTCGAAAAGCCAAATGAGATTATTTAAAACAATCTGAATTACTTCCCTTACCAAGTGATGAAATAAGAAAACTGCTACTGCTATGCACAAAAAACGTACAATTCCGTTCCCACAATGAAATTAATATGCAGATTAACACAGTAGCCATGCCACGTCCTGTGTGACCTATTGTTGTTGATATAGCACTTATGAGAGATTTAGAAACAAGTGAAATGATGTTCGCAATTGAGGAGACTACTGTTTATGCACGGTAATCGCATGATTCTTTCGTGAGTTGCAAGAATATGGGCCACGCTTGTAAATTATCCCCAAGCCTCGACAATATGCATTGAAAAATTAGTGTCACAACCCAATATGAACGGGACCAGTTTCATTTTGCTGACTGATCTATGAAAAGACTAGATGTTAGCATAATCGAAAGAGGAATATACCGCGAGAATTCGTGGACCGGATATTATTTAAGCTATGCTAATTTCTGTCTCATTAAAACAAGGACTGATCAAATCTCTGTTTGAGAAGGCAGTGGAGATTCGCCCGTAAGTGAGGTTGCATGAAGAGTTGGAGTTTCTGGAAAAGCGATTATCTCAACTCGGTATCAAAAGAAATTAAAACATTGATGCAAGAAAAAAATATAATGGTGAAAAGAACGCTGTTACAGTCGAAAGGCTGACTTTCAAAAGAGATGATGTATCATATCGAGTTAATAAAAGCCAATGAGTCGTCTCTACCAAAGCTGTTCTGGCAGCTGAATATTTTCAAGTATTCAGTGCTGGCCGTCCTATTAACCAATCTACAGTAAACATGTACGCATCAGAAGTCAAATGCAACTTGTATTCACCAATTCAGATGTCGCAGAGCAAGCAAGAACACTATCCAGCATGGCTGTAGAAAGGAAGTAGTGGTCATATAAGGAGTGCAATAATCGAACATCTCGTCACCACTGGTCATTTCATCTCAACAAACGCCTCATTCAAAGTAATCTACAAAGACGATACGTTTCCGTCTTCTTTGCATTGTAGAAGCCATAGCCATTCATTTGGAAGAACCAGAACTATGCATACAAAAAGAAATTATTCAACCACTTCTGCTAGCACGGTAACAACTCTGTTGATTTGACTTAACTTTTGCTTGTATGCTTATTTTTCTAACTACTTAAAGCTCGTACGTGATTCCGTAGGTTATTTTGTTGCCATTAACGCTCTCATTGCAACTCGTTGCCATTAATCAAATGGAGACACAAAGTGGATATTCCAACTGCACTAACTATTATTAATAAGGAGTGAATTTTAATTTGGTTTATCGAATCTCTTATTATCAAACAGCTTAAAATCCCACCTATGTACAGAAAAAGAATCCGCGATTAATCTTAATTCACCCTGGTGACATTTATTTCACTGATTACATAATGATGTATTCTGTTTTCATCTATCATTATTTTACCTACTTAACTGATTTTGAATTGCTTTTAAATAATTCCTTGCGGATCATTATGCAATCTTTTTTCTGTATGTTGCTGCCAAATTATGTTTTGTTGTTAAGCCATTTACCAGAAATTCATGAATCTTCTTCTAAACATATGATTAAATAACTAGTTTTATGTTGTCGGGTGTAATGATTACTTTATCACATTTCACCAATTGATGTTTCTTTAAACTACGATCTTTACGCCAACCCCCTGACTGGAGAATGAAAACTACATGTTCTTTTTTCACTAATTTCATGTATAATTTAGGCCGTTTGTAGCTAAAAACAAGTTTCGGAATAAAATATGCACGTTTTATGCTGCAAATCTTGTCGTTCTTGTTTTAATGGTGACGTGGTTGAAATTCGAATGTTTAAGTGAGTTAGTTATAACTTCAAAAGAGAAATAAAATGCACGCAAACAGAAGAAAATGGCAAGAGCGATAATGGAAAAAAGCCAATTAGCTGAGAAGCGCATTAGTATATACTTAATATTTAGACAGAAGAGAGAAAGAGAGAGAGAGAGAGAGGAATAAACGTTCTCCGAGGTAAACATACAAACAATCAACAAGCCATCATGTACCAGCTACAAAAAACGTCTAAGTCTTTTAGTCTAGTGTATTACTTAGGTTTTGAGTAAAACAGAACATGAGAAAATCTTGTTATTCCGTACCAATTAATAGAACACTTGTTTCACATCACTTTTATTCTTAAAGGCGACCACCAATGCTGACAAAACCTTTCAAAGGAATCTGCACAAGAGGAATAAACTCTCTGATGATTTAAATGCTTTATTACTTGGCATGAGTTTTTGACTAAATAAAAAGGAAGTGCAAAAATCTTACTATCTGTTTCTTTCGCATAACGAATCGCCTCAACAGTTTGAGGTTTAACTCCGTCATCAGCAGCGACTACGAGAAGCATTATGTCAGTCACCTTTGCACTTCGTAAACGGATACCAGAAAATGCTGCATGACCTGGTGTATCCAGAAACGTAATGCTCCGAGAAGATGAGGTAGAGTTAGATAGTGTACAACCAGCATTTTGCTCAACAGATGATAGAGATACGGTAAACGCGCCAAGATGTTGAGTTATACCTCCGAACTCCTCATCTACAACTCTACTGGAACGCAAGGCGTCTAACAATGTTGTTTTTCCATGATCTACATGACCCAAGACTGCAACAATAGGAGGGCGGGGTTCACATATTTCTGGAGGACACGGCGGTCTGAAAAAATGATTAGGATTTGAAGAAAAACAGTATAAATTAAATTTATATGAATATTACTTAGCACAGGTTTAATGTCTTAAAAATAAGTAACGGGTCTGTAATATTTCTTTACTATTGGTTATTTGCAAAGTACACTATACCAAATAAAAACTCACCACTGTTTACAGTGTAGACGCGATTTATTCAGATCACAATATGGTTAGCATTAGAAAAACAAAAAAATTAGAAAATGGTGCGTTTTTCTGACTGATATGAGTGGTAAGAAAATGTTAACAGGAGTTGGTGGTACTTGTTAGTAACATCGCCTTGGTCTAGACACTGTCTTGCTCGTTTGGGATCCAGCATATCAACAGCGTACCAGAATTGAGTTGCATTTCAACCAAATCAAACCATCCGAATTTTGACTATCATAGAACTAAAACTAATGTATCAACAAGCAGCTGCTTCAATTACGTCCATCTCTCACAATTACTGTGTAAGATATTTAAGGCCACCTCGCCCACTTGATCACAACATGTCAGCAATCACACATCAGGTGTGACTCTTGGTTGATTGCAAAACCTACATGGACTTCTCAAATTCAGATGCAACATTAGTTTTTTGGAATTTAATGAACTTGGTATTGGGAAATTCATCCCATATGTTGGAGTATACCGTCACTGATCCTATTATTTCCACAATCTGGATTACAATTCTTATTTGTAGTTTATATTACGTCTAACATAAAACTCCGTTTCATACAGAAGCTCATCACAAGACAAGTATTTTGTATCAGCCCTGAAGCACTAATTGCCGATAAAATCTCAGCACGTATACAAAAGGCTCGAATGGCATTTGACAACCTATATCACTTCTGGCGTTAACGCGATATCAGGCTATCAATCAAAGGACGTCAGTACTGCCCCGCAATTCTCTCCCTCGTCCATTATGGCTGTGAAACATATCCACTGAAAACATGAAAAGCCTAGCTAGCCGTCTTTGATCGTACGGGCCTGCGTTCTATCTCCAGTGTAAGTGTTATAATAGAGGGAGTAGTATTGAGGTTAGACGTTAAGTGTCGGAATCCTCGGGGTTCCAGAAATCGACTGAGGATATCTATGCACTATCTTGTTCTTTGGAAATGATATCTCTTCATTGTTAATGGAAAATAAATAATAACTTTGGAAATGTAGGTGAAGTTTCAACTATATGGCTTCGCTTTCTCCCGCTGTCCGAAGATAAATAGACACTGACTATCAACTTCATTTCGTAAAAATCACATTGTTTCTGTTGGTAGAGTGATTGATTCTGGTTTCATTGTTACACTGATGTACTTCCTGGCAAGCTGGTCAGCCAAGAGGAAAATAATTCTGTGGTATTTCCTTTAAGCCTCTTGCAATCTGCCTGCTTCTAATGCTTTTAACTTTAGTTTACGATTTTCAGTGCCCTAGAATTACTTATATGGTTGACAAAACCAACTGATATGTATGGACCCACGAATTAGAAGTCAAAACATTTCGAGCATTACTTAAACATAAACCTGTAGGAGCGGGTCAACATTTCCAAATGATATATTTGTGCAATCCTACGAATTCATTTCTCATTGAACCAATTAGCACTGTTGTTGTTTGGGAAAATCTAGGTACACTGTATAATATGGAAGAATCGGTAATTTCTGTTTCTTAAAATATTGACTGAGAAGTTAATCTTTAGCAAGCAAAAACGGAAGAATTTAATCTTCCAGAGGAGTGTGATTCCTTGAAGTCTCCAAACCATTCTTGTGTTGCTTATCTAAGCGGTATAGCTGTTTCCCGATCTCCAGTCGTAGGTGAGCTAGCAGTCCGATATTACAACTGACACTCCAGTCATATTTTAGGATTTATGTGACAAAACAATTATCTGATGGTATTAGATGGTTGGAGGCAATCGGACACAGGAAGCCTTGGACCTAGGTTTCGTGCTAGTTGGCATTCATCAGTCAGCAAGGCGTATCTGCAACCTTGAAGGAACTCATGTCCCTTCTGAGATTCGAACCCGCGTCACCCAGTGCTGCAGTCAGAGGACTAGGCGCATCACACTAGTTACAAGTGTCAAATATCCACTACAGTCCTACAGGAGGTCAATCGCGAGCCCGAATAGCTCAGTGGTAACGCCTTTGACTGCAGCACTGGGTGACGCGGGTTCGAATCTCAGAAGGGACATGAGTTCCTTCAAGGTTGCAGATACGCCCTGTTGATGAGTGCCAACTAGGACGAAACCTAGGTCCAAGGCTTCCTGTGTCCGATTGCCTCCAACCATCTAATACCATCGAATCGATGTGCACCGTGATGGCGAGCTAGCTAGAATGGCGGTCACATTACAGCCTGATTGATTTTCTGTCTACACCAATCAGAGGACTAGACGCATCACACTAGTTACTAGTGTCGAAAACAGTTATTTTTCAAGGGATATATATATATAACGTAGGAAGGTGTAGATTTCGGAGAATGTGAAATATCATTCACTTGGGAGAATGTCGGACGTCTTATCATCATATCATATTGATTTTTCCTAGAAACATATCACCACTTCAACGGTCTACTAGAAAGCCTCAATTTGATGTGTAGTAAGAAGTCTATCAACCTCATGCAAGACTTACAACTGCAAACAGGGAATTCATATGGAAAGAAACTCAGAAAATCTTCAGTAGTGGAGAAAATACATGTAGAACTTGTACAATCCCCGGAAAAATAGATCGGACGTAAAACTAAACAAAGTCGGGACCGAAGCTGTATATTAAAGATTCAAGTAACATGTACCTAACTCATTTGCTAGCAGAATTGACACAGAAACACAGTTTGAGTATCTGTACTACAAGAATAAAAATGTTTGGTTTAAATTCAAAATGATTTATATTGCAGAACAGTATCACATTCCTCCTCCTGAACAGTGAAAACTGTTTAAAAAAGAGCACAGACTCGAATTGAGGAACCTACAGAACAATGCCAAGATAGTTATTCTTAAACCAGACAAAGGTTCTGGCGTCGTAGTAATGAAACGGCAGGACTACGCCTTTAAAATGACTATATTTCTCGGTTTTACAATGACGTCCCGAATGGATAGGCCAAAATACCAATGCAAAAACAGCCTTCGGAAACACAGTAAATAAACACCTCAAGGAACTGTCTAAAGAATGACTTCATTTACCAATTCACTTGCACTTGCGGCAGCAAGTATATAGGAAGGACTGAAAGTAGAGCGTCTAAGCATATCCCTGAAAGTCTCCGTATGAAAGACAGAAAATTGTTCTTAATTGCAATTGTCAGGCACCTAATTGACATAGAACACACAGTGGAAGTTAGTAAGGCTTTCAAAATAATCGATACATAAAGAAAACCATGGTTACTTTGGTTCGCAGAAGCCATTGCTATCAAAAGCCTTCGACCCAACCTCTGTATGCAGAAAGATAATGTGACTAATCTCTCACTACTCTGGTAACTGTGATTGTTTTGTTCTGCTCCAGAACTTTCCACTTAATTTTGATCATAATTTCCACTTACCGAGTTGAACTCACTTTTAAGTTTCCAAATTTACTTGATTGCTTGTCTATGTCATAATTTTACTTTACTATTCACTGCCATCCATCATAATATATACAAATTCACTTTGTTGTTTGATCTTTATTATGTTTCTAGTTAACCTTGGTTTCCAAGCGGAATCTGAACTCTAGCCCCACCCTTTTTGTTTAATTACACTATAAATGGTTGGTTTTCAACAATGAATAATTTGTCTGCTTATATCATTTTTTTGAATTACATTCCTTATACTTCCTATCAGTAATCGAAATCACTGGGGGAAAAAGATATGTTTAAAAATTTTGTATAGAATGTACTCAGTTGAAAGGAATGTACGAAATAAAACGATCTGGTGTGATTTTGCAAATGTGTTTCTGTTTTGTTCAAAATAATAAGATGGTCTGAGTGTATAAAACTGTGTAATTTGTCAAGTAGGCTTTTATTAGTATCCCGGGATTTCGTGGTGCTATCTTCTCAGATTACAGAACCGCAACAAGGCTATTTAAGCTCTGTCGTACGTTGCACAGTAACGCAGAAACAGTACAAGTGGGTGCTACAGTATTGTTAAGCTATTTTCATTTTCACTGCAATGCAATTTTTAGCTTACTTTGGAAATCAAAAAGAGAGGTTCCACGGGTATAGCTTGCGTTACAGTTACCTCAGTAAGTGTTCACAGCGTTATGAAATGAGTTCGACAATGGTCGATAATCTTTGGCGAAAAATACTAAATTAGTTAGACGTTAGAGTTGGTAAGCGTGAGGAGTTACTTGCATTTATGGAGTTTAGAATACTTCGCCAAAGAAGAAAAGAATATATATCTTCTAGGATAGTGACCTTTGGCGGATGACAGCAAAGCTTAAGTGCATCAGTAACTGTTCATACCGATTAGAGTGTAACAGAAGAGGATGGTTTCATGATCAGAGATTGTTAGTGTTAGTCCGATGGCCGGAATACTACTCGGGCAGGTAGTTGTATTAAAGGATCACCCCCGAGGCTTTGACTTGAAGTCAGATCTACAAGGCAGTGGGGCAGCGTCAGGAATTGTTCCCATGGTTACCGGTGACCATCCAATCCGTCTTGATTCTGAAGCCCATGTACGCTAAAATAACTGCTTTCAATCTGACTTCCTTCCAAAAAACCTTTCTGACATGGTAGTAGCTGCAGGAACATAAGCTCCAACCAGTGTAATCTGTTGGGTCACTGCAGTATGCAATCCCGAACACCACGTCAAGGTAACAGTTATCGGTCGGCCCAAAGATTACAGTGGTATGTACTACTCAATAACTGTACAGAAATGTGCACTAAGTGACAAACCACATCTATTGCATGAGAGCTAATAATACTGTCTCATCACTTAAACCGTGTTATACGCATATGGTTTGAGCACAAATCAACGGTGTACTTATCTTAGAAAAAAATTCGATAGCCGATTTCAATAATTCTCATATCAAAACCACTCGGTTAGTTAGACGTAGCAGATATCATTTAATAAGTCATAAAAAGGCAGTAGTTTTAGATTAACTTCCTATAGTGGACCAAATGCTCGAAAAAAGCTGTTCGGTATATCCATACAGCTTGTATGAATCAACATAATTTTAAGCAAAAACAGAATACTTCCACTACTGCTAACAGAATGATATAGAAAATATGACTGAATCTACTAACCTTGGATAAGCATCATAGTCAATTGTTTCTTCAGTGACCTGACGCCTAAAAACTGGCGTGAATCCCATTAATCTCACTAGGGTTTCAATTATCTTTTTATCTTCCAACTCTGAATTTCTACTATTTGGGTAAAAATGATCATACTTGAATTGTTATTGGCTTTCTGTTTTGTAACTAGTGATGAGTTGAGAGTTTGAAGGATTACATGAGGGGATATTTTGGCTGCGGATGACAACTCCTTCACACTTATTCCCTCCCAAACCTCTAATTTGCTTTTCTTTGGTATATAAAACCAATTATCACTAAGTGTATACTTACGGCTTTTTGAACATGTGATTCTGAAGTACGCCGAGTGGAGTAGTATGAAGTAGGGTGCACAAATGATAAGTGGACTCTTTTTAATCTGATAATCATTTCAGATGATATAAAAGGAATTTATTTCAATATAAAATTGAAGAATCGCGAGTATTTTGACTGTATCAATGTTTGATAAACATATTACTCTCTAGATGTTTGATGTACTTTCAAAAGTAACAGGTAGAAGAATAAGGAGGAAACGTATGACATGGGTACTGATCAGTCTAGATCTAGAAATAGAAAAACAGAAAGAAATTCACATGTCTGATTAGCCATATGCTGATCTAACAAACACACAATTTCATCTTCTTCAATCAATAGAATGCACCCATCCATCACCAGATTACCGCATCGTGAATCCAAATATTTCTTGAATGATATTGAAGAGTATGCTCATTTGTTTCGAATGTCAGTAGGTAGGTTAAAGATATGAGCTAGATCAAAGTTTTCACACAACCGAATGGCGCTTTGACGCTAACGGAAAGTTAAAAGTGTGCTTACCACCGAACTATGCATCTGCAAATATGTTCACTGTAAATACCGCCTGTAGGCTAGTTAAAACTCCGTTTTCTTCTGTCAGTTTCGAGTCATACTTATTGTGACGGCTGGTGGTACTACCCATTTGTACAGGATAAAATAAGTAGGCTCGGATTCTAGATCATGACACTGGCTGATAATCGAGTGCCTGAACCACTAGACCACATCCTAAGTACAATCTGAGCATTGTCTCGGTGACACCTAGGAAATTATATATCTTACAATAGTTCATTATAATAAAGGTTTTTGTATTTCCCAATGAATGAAAAACAAAACAATATCGCTTTGTTTTTCATTCATTGGGAAATACAAAAACCTTTATTATAATGATTATCATATACTCAATGCCCAAATTTTTTCAAACTTAAAAATGAACTTGGTTTGGACATATAGAACAATAGTTCAGTCTATAAGTGGACGCTGAGCAGTAATGACTACTTCTATTGTATTTGTTTACATTTTGGAAATTGAGCACAAATTAAGTTTGTGAAATTCTGCCTTTTGAAGAAGCTACTACAACCTGATTTGTCAAACAGAGTAATTTTCTCAAGGCATTAATATTAAGTGTATACAAACAAATAGATTGCATCTTTTTAAGTTATAACCTCATGCATGCAGTCATAATCATTGCTCAAAGCTGTATATATTACGCAACAAGTGATTTTACTCCAAAAAGTACCTTTAGTTTTTAAAAGAGACAATTCCCCGCTATTTTACGACTTCATTGGTAGGTGTAAGACGATACATGAAACAACTTTTAGTAAACATGGTAGACAGACGTCATTTAATACACTTTGCTTTGAATAAAACGTAGGTCAGATGCAAACCTATTTACTATGTACCTTATTTACTGTTAAAGCAAGCGTGACAGCCTTTGTAATTATCAACACCACCACTATAACCCCATAAAACTGCCAAATAGATTATGGTGCACACAGAGGTTGCTGTGCAACTCATAAGTTAGGAAGTAATTGAAAAAGGTACTCTCAAGTTGACCCAATGAGCTAGAGACAACCACAATTTATTAAACATGTGCGAAACATGAACAGTAATACATAATGTTAAAATATATGGACGAACTTCAAACTAAACACCATCACTAAACAAGTAACCCCATTAAAGATGTGTGATCTTTATCACCAAGATCAGTAGCTTATACTCCATTCTGAAGTAATTTAGGGTATCACCAGACACACTTAAACAGAACTGTAACACAGTAATAAATAATTATTTTCAGGTGTAACACTTAAGCTTAAGTTAAAAAGTAGCAGCAAGGAAACACTGTGCAAGTCTAGGTAAAGAAAACCAGAGAATTTAAGTGGATTTATTTTAAAATAATCATCTGATCATTGAAGTTAAATAGTAGCATTCTAACACGTGTAATATTCTCAAACTCTCAAGTGAAATGTTTCAGATGTTTTTGAAGAATCTGTGGGTAAAATCAAGAGAAAGCGGTTATATTCCCTCCATAATTCCTCAAATTTGTGATTTGCACCCAGACTATTCATTTAGGATCACCACAGACTCCCAAAACTCAAGCATATCATACCTCCAATATCCAATATCCTGATTACGAGCTAGTATAAACCAGTGATTTCTTTGAGCTCGCTTCTTGATTGTGAGGTAGAGGTTCCAGATCTTCGGTGAGCTTCTGCGTAGTAAGTCCCGACACTCGACTGCTTTAGCTCTGGTAGACTCCCGGAGGAGTGGTGCGGGGATTGGTCGAGATGTGGTTTGTAGTATGCAGTATGTTAGGACTGTATTGCTGCCGTGAATGGAGTTTGACCTAACTCCCGTTGGTCATTCGTATAGTCATAAAGCAGAATAGTAATAATCATAATAATAATAATAATAGGTTGTAGTGTAGATAATATAGGTTGAGATAAATGGAATAATAAAGGTGACCTATTACCTGAGGTGATAATTCGGCCCAGATAATAATCTGATGTAAAATCTGGTTCTAGTTTGAAGTACGAACTAGTAAACCTACACCACTGTCAGTTCACGTTTCCCCCACTCAACATCAGGTGACCTTTAGAGGGAGTAAGTGTCAAACTCCCTCTCAACTTGCATACTATATCCAATGCCATTTAGATGATCAATTTTTCATCTGTATTAAATTATCGGATCTTAATTCTGAATAATAGGGAGAGGTTCCAAATATTTGACAGACTGCTGAGCCTTCACCTCACCTCTCTCCTTCATTAGGCTTAATGAACCAGACAAGCGAGTGATTGGAGGTGTGGAGTAGGTAACAATGCGATTGTACACTTTTCGGTTATTTGTAGAGATTAGAAATATTGTACATGATTTTTGTTTAAAACGCTTCTCGTTGAAATATACATTACTTCCGTGGACAATTGAAAATACACTCTGCTGTTGGAGACTTCGTCTTCTCCCTGGTTATTTCTGCTTACTTGCTCAACTCACACCGTGTTGTATACTTCGGATTTATTGTAGGAGTCTACTACTCTCAACCGAAGACATTTCTACAACCGGAACACAGCAGCTGCAGCAGACGCAACCCAAACAATTAACGTACCTGTGGATTATATAAATAATTTGTAGCAGAGGACTTAAACTTTGTATCCAAGTAATCCTTTTTGTTGATATAACTCGTCACTGCATTTTTGGTAATATATTGTTATTTAACACTCCATTGACTTGGATTATATTTCTCATATTCTAATGTTAGTGAACTCTAATATTAGTCCCCTACAAATTAATTGGTGAGCCCGATAAGAACACGGATTATTTTGGCATATTCATATTCTTATTTTTGCTATTTTGTATATTCATTGTGATTTTGTGTGTGGTTTATATTTGTATCCTAATTTGCACCAATAACCTCATATTTATAATGTCATCACCTCAGTCCGGTACATCAAACGAGCAGACAACTAATAGCGAGACAAATGCCACAATAAATGCCATCACTGATTTTCGTTTACCCCAATACGGTTTCGCAGAACCAAGGATTTGGTTTGCGGTAATTGAACCGTTGCTAGAAGCACGGGGCATTAAGTCCCAAATAGCCAAATATGGTATGGTGCTGGCAGAACTCCCTCCGTCAGTATTGACAGAAATCAGCGATTTCATCGAAGATCCTCCGACGGAACATCAATTTGATAAACTTAAAGCCCTCCTCATACAACGTACCAGTTTGTCGGATGAGAAAAGAATCCAACAATTGCTCACAGGCTGTGAACTAGGCCCACGTAAACCATCCCAGCTGCTCAGGCACATGCGCCAGTTAATCGGACATCATAAAGTAGACGAGGTAGTGCTGAAACAGATGTGGTTGCAACGTTTACCTAGAAATGTCCAGCAAATTTTAATCATCTCAGGAAAGTCGTATGACTTAGACCAACTAAGTGACATGGCAGATAGTATTATGGATGTTTTATCTGATAACACCATAAGTCACGTAGCATCTGATAGTGCCACACCGTGTCATTCCACACCCACGGCAGACACACCGATACTCGCCGCCATTGCAGACTTAGCGGCAAGGATTGACAAGTTGGAAACTAATAGTCTGATCGACGAGTCCGGAGACGGAGTTCACAAAGAAGGTCACCATCACGACGACGATCCTTCTCACGACAGCGTTCTTACACGTCTTCTCGGGATAGCAATATATGCTGGTATCACTGGAAGTTTGGACGTCATGCCCTGAAATGTGTAAAACCGTGCAGCTTTAGCGAAGCCAACCAGGCTCAGGGAAACGCCTCAGCCAGACAGTGATGGCGACAGCTGTTACTGGCAAGCAAACAAGTCGCCTCTTCTATGTGAAGGATAAAACTTCAGACACTTTATTCCTGGTAGACACGGGAGCAGAAGTTAGCGTAATCCCTCCTTCACTATCCAGGCGATCTACACGGACACCCGGAAAACTGTCTCTCCGGGCAGCTAACCACACAAGCATACAGACGTATGGAGAGCAATCCCTCATACTGGATCTAGGTTTACGTCGGCGTTTCACATGGATTTTCATAGTAGCCGACGTCAGTCACGCCATCCTCGGAGCAGATTTCTTGAGTAATTTCAACCTGTTAGTTGACGTCAACAATAAAAAACTGATTGATAACAACACCCATCTAAAGATCCATGGAATTATCTCCAGCTATTCTGTCTATAATATCAGTATTGAAAGACCAGCAGATTGCCCTTTTTCCTCCCTACTTCACCGTTTCCCTAAAATTCTTAAGCCGTCGTACAACATCGAGGACGTCCCTCACACAGTTACTCACAAGATAGTTACTACGGGTCAACCAGTTCGTGCTCGTCCTCGTAGATTACCCCCGGACAAATTGGCAGCAGCCAAGGCAGAATTTGAACACATGATGCAGCTCGGCATCATCAGACCCTCCAATAGTCCTTGGTCTTCGCCCTTACACATGGTGCCTAAAGCTGATCATGATTGGAGGCCATGTGGGGATTACCGACATTTAAACAATGCCACAGTTCCCGACCGTTATCCTATTCCCCATCTTCATGATTTCTCCCTGACATTACAC